CAGAATGTACGAGTGTTGAGAAAAAGGATTTTTTTGTGGAAAAGAAGAAAAAAAGAGACTTTATTGAACATTGGTTTATTGAATATTTGTTTATAAAAGTGGGGGGTGTGTTTTGAGATTTTGGACTTTTATTTTAAGAAAAGTTTTTTTTTTTTTTTTTTTTTTTTTTTTTTATATACTCTTAAGAGCTGTGATTTGTAAACCCTTCCTCCAATTTGGATGTACATACCCTCAAATTAAACCTAAGAGTGTGCACTTTCAGCCCATATCCATTATATAACTATAGCTTGAATATATTTTGGTAAATACTCTAAAATTGTGCCTGTGTCCAAATATATATGGACTTAACTGTATGAATGCCCCCTCCCTTATATTCCACCCCTGCCAGTCACAACCCTCCTTTTCGATCCTACCTTTCACAGCAGGTAGAAGGCACGGCATGCCTGGACAGAGAGTGGGACATGCTTTTCGTGTTAACAGGCAGGTGATGGCTTGCTATATAACATGTGGGTATGTGAAACCTCATCAAAGATGTGGCTAGCAGGCCCCCCCCCCCCTTTCACTGCACCTGAAATACAGTACATTAAATGCACAGGTGTGCACAGAGCCAGTATGTGGACACAAAGTACTTTATCTCTTAATGTGGTTGTAAATGATTACATATACCCAGTGAAGTGACTTGCCTCAGGTGATACAGAGATGAAACAAATCCTTCTACATAAGTTGTTCCTGTTTATTTGCAGCCTTCTTTTCTCTACATGTGTTCACAGTGCTTCCAGAAAGCAAGGGGTGGGGAGCTGAAGTTACTCCGCAGATCTCAGTGATGGCTGATTGGAGGAAGGGCACACACCACCTTTGCAAAAGAACAGAGCTGTGGCTGTCAGTCACAGGGTGTGTACTGGAGCTCCCTCCCCATCACCTTTTTACCTCTTTACTGTCAGGAAAACATGTCAGAAGTGACTCATGCAGATGGCAGAGGAACAAGGCAGTAGACAGAAATGGCACTTGGTGCTCTGGATTAGGACAAGTACACACTATAGAGGTATATGCTTTGTTCTTATTTCATGTCTGAGGTTTACAACCACTTTAATACTGAAATAGGTGACCTTTCAAATGGCTAGGCTTTGGGAAAAACATGCAGACAAATAATATGAAATTCAGGAGTCTCAGTCCAATCCAGGAACCAGCAGGAATTTTTTGTTAGGTGCCACCTCCATTGATGATGACAACCAGAGAAAACCTTTTTGTTTTTTTTTGTTTTATTTTGCCATCTGTGCCCCATTGTGGAGATTTCACTTTCTGTCCCATAGCCAGATTAGGAGTGAGAGGAAATCCCTGTAAATTAATTTAATTACTTGGGACCCCCCAGGATACCAGAACTAGAGTGCTCATCTGAAGATTTCCCCTCTGACTTTTCTGGAGAAAACCCAAAATTTGGGCTTTTCTTTTAGGCTCCATTCACATGACGCTGAGTGTTTTTCAGGTGTTTTTTCAAGCTGTTTTGCAAGTATTATAGGCATTTTTTTCAGCAACAAGTGTTATGCTACAGTCAACAGAACGCTCAAGTGTGAACAGAGGCCATTGGAAATAATAGGATTTTACTTGTTGAGCTTCGAGCTGAAAAATGTTCAAGTATGAACGGGGTCTTACTTTCAATGATAATGGTAAACAGGACAAATAGGGTGAATTTGCTTAACAGGGGCACAGACAGCGATGAAAACTTACAGGATGTCTAATCCATCTCCACTCTATCCAAAACCAAAAAAAAAAAATAGCCTTTAGTTACAATTTAAGCTAGGTGTACAGGTATCGAAATTTGGCCATTTCATCAGGAAGTGGCCGAATTTCGATCTGTGTGTACTACTAGCCCTGTTTCTTCAACAGAAGACCGGCTTATGTTAAATGATACTGCTCGAAAACCAGTGGGTGATCCGTGTATACTGACGGGTTGGGGGAGAGGGGGGGTCCAACTGTCAGAATGCAGTATTGCAGCAAGGGGAGATCCCTTTGTGTGGATGAAGGAATCTGAGGTTTTTTCATTCAACCAGCTGGCTGAAAAACCCTATTTTCCTTCCGTTAAACAAAAGAAAGCAGAACGGATGTAAACGGATGGAAAACATGACTTGAATTGATGAAAAAACTGATGTGAACTGATTCGTTTTTTCTTGGGGAGGGTAACATGACTGAACTGATGACAAAATGGAACACCCCTGTAAAAGGGGCCTAAGTCGCTTTTTAGTATTTTATATTTATAGGTATCAGAAGCAAGAATTTCCCACCGTAGTTTCTTGGCACCACCTGCCAGGATCTTGAAAATGTCTAAGGTTCCATGCACACTGGTTTAAAAATGCTGCTTCTGCAGGAGTTGTTTTACCTGTAGAAACAGTTATCCTATGTATCCATGCACATTAGGCCGACTCGAGGCATATTTTAAGCTCAACGTTTAGAGGCAAGAAAAAAAAACCCTTCTGGTTTGTGTTCTTGATTGGAGCTTTCTGGCAGAAAACATACTAAACTCTCCTAAATTAAAAGCATTCTATACCAGCATTTGGTTATTATGCACACTGGGCTTAAAAAAACAAAAAAAAACAAAAAAAACTATGCAGTTATATACAGTATATGTAAATCATCCTCTGAGAAACACATTGCCATCATTTTAACTTTTATGGAAACCTAGAGAGAAATATTGGGGACAATGTTTTCTCTGTCTTTTCTGACCACCTAGTGAAAATGCTAGTCTCCTGGCTGTCATGCTGATCTAGCTAGCTCAGGCTTGTGGTCCTCTCACTGTTTCTTTGCTAATTTCTGCTGGTTTAAGGATTGCATGAATGAGAAGTCCTGTGCATAATTTTTGCTTATATGATTTTGAAGCTGAAAACTTCAGACCCCTTCCTCTGAGATAAAATATAAGCTGCAATTATTGGTATAAAATCACCTAAGTTCTCTACTTTTTCTGAAACATTGTGGCCTTCTGTATACATAGTACAGCCCCTTGAAGATAAATTTAACTTGGCCCACTGTATAATTTTTAAGTTTCATTATGCCTGCTCTAGCATCAGTACTCTGAAGTGAAGTAAGGTTAGAACTCCTAATCCAAGTACTTGTTTAGAGACCCATAGTAGTGATGCCAAATGATCAACATTGTCAACCGAAAACTAGAATTTTCAGCAGCCAGACTACTACATTTTCCACAGCCTCCACCTCCATTTTTCTGTCACCACAGATTTCCTTTAACCCTTTTTGCTGCCAGAGGCATTTGTGGGGTTTTTTGCACACATTTAAAAAAAATAATTTAGCCCTGAAGATTAGTTAAAACCACCAAATCTATATTTTTTTTGAAAGCTGAGATCCTGGAGAATAAAATGTTCTAAATCTTTTTCGGGCAACAGGTCAACCGTAAATGCAAAAGGTAATTTTATAGCACAAAATATATTACCAAGTTGTTTAAATAAAATATAAAAGATGACGATGCCAAACATATCAAACCCTAAATTTGCACATGCCAGTGAAACGACAACAAACTTCCGTACCCAAAATTTTCTTTAAAAACCCCTACAGGTCACCAATTTAGAGCTAACCGTGGATAGTGGTCCTATCATTAATATTGCTCTCACTCCAGAGTACACGGTGATATGCAACATGCAGGACAATCAGTTCCCCCCAGTTTTTTGTGTGGGGGGGGGAGAATTTTAAGTGCTATGGTGCACTTTTAAATTTTTTTTTTTTTTTCCCTCCAGTTAGCTTTATTTTTTCACTTAGGGGGGCAAAAGTCCCCTATGTGACAGCATTTTGCTATGCCAGGTTCTGTTTAATGACATATTTGGGGTCTAATTGACCCCTGATGTTTCACCTACCTCTGACTGAAGTGAATGGAGCACAGACTGCACTCTATTTGCTCCTTTACTGGCAACAGCGGACACATTTCTGGGAGTTCATGAAACTGATCAGGCGGGCTGTGCAGCCACTGGATCTCTTCCATGTGACAGCCAACTGTCTGCATGTTCGCTCTACATTGTGGCAGGAAAAGGATCAGATGGCTTCATTACTTGACAGAAGAACACGACAAGTGATTCAGCTTGCCTGTGCGTGATCCTAACTGAAATAACATTTTAAAAGCTGTATTAAACCCTTCAAGTATAAAAGAAAATGCACCAGACATCCACATTTACGATGTTTGCCGTTCTTTTAAAGCTTTTCGCTCATTTGCATTCTGCCTTACCTCTAAAATGGCCTTTCCTGTGTTTATATCTTTTGGGTGGCTACTCTGCCTTGCATGGTTCTGTGGAACCCTGACGTGGCCACCCTTACTGGCATGCTTAAGATTCCTGGGGTGAGGTGCTGCATAGTAACGTGGTCTACCCTAAATATGGGTGTAACATGTTACTAAGGGATCTTATTTACTGTCACTTTAAGTATTCTGTTTTCCTACACTTAACAGGTTCATCCGCTGAGTACGCTGTATAAACTATGCGCATCCTCAGCTACAGACAGTGTACAACCTTGTGTTCCGGTTGTGGGACAAGAACATCTTGTTCTGTACCTGGAAAAAAATTGGGTCGTGTTGAGCAGCCGTCAACCATTCATAGGTAACTTTGCATTCTCTGAATACAAAGCTTCCTTTTGGCTGAGGTGGAGATTGTGATATCCTATTCTGCTTCTCATCCAATCAGAGGAAGCACCTGTTAGTGTAGAAAATAGTTTGTTTGGGCCAGCTTGGCCCAAATGAACTATTTTAAAATGTTAGTAAAGCTGGAAATCGGCTTTAAAGTACCCCTGTAATATCCATTCCTTTTAGGAGTAGCGCTTGGGAGCTTGATCATGTTCAAAGACCCCAAGACTGTAGCTGCCTCCTCCAGGCTTTGGGTCTGCTCTTTGCCTATAGCAGTAGTGACTGCACCGGTGGAACCAATAAACCCCGGACTGTCCATTTAAAGTTTATAGCAGATACTTACAAATGTTAAACCAGGTTCAACAAAAGTGGATTTCTATGTCTTTTATAGGTGCGTTCGATGGATGAATTAAATCATGACTTTCAGGCTCTTGCACTTGAAGGAAGAGCAATGGGAGAAGTAAGTATGCATACACTTAAACTGTCAATGAGCAACTCCAAATATCCAGTTCAATCAATTGACCATCTGGAAATGACAGTACATTCATAAGGTATTTAGACCCTCTTCACTTTTTTCAATTTTGTTATGTTGCAGCCTGATTTTACAGTTATTTACATTTATTATTTTTTTTCTCAATCTACACTTGGTACTCCATAATAAAAACAGTATTTTAGAATTGTTTGCAAATATATATGAAAAACGAACAACTGAAATATTACATTGGCATAATTATTCAGACCCTTTTCAACAGCACTTAAAATTTAGCTCAGGTGCCTCACGTTTCTCTTGATTGTTTCTACTACACCTTGATTGGAGTCTACCTATGGTAAATTAAATTGATTGGGCTTGATTTGGAAAGGCACACGCCGCACAGCTGACAATTCATACTGTATCGTACTGTAAGCCATGAGCTCATAGACAGGATTATTGCAACGCACAGATCTGGGGAAGGATGCAAAATACTTGCACTGAAGGTTCCCAAGAGCATAGTGGTCTCCATAATTCTCAAATGGATGACGTTTGGCACAACTAGGACACTTCTAAGAGCTGGTCCCTGGCCAAACTGAGCAGTAGGGGAGAGAGGGGCCTTAGTAAGAGAGGGGACACTGACCGAGGTCCAGAGATCTTATGAAAAGATGGGACAAAGTTCGAAAAGGACAACATTACTGCAGTCCTCCATTGATCTGGGCTTTATGGCAGAGTGGCTAGATGGAAGCCTCTCCTTAGTGCAAAACACATTAAAGTTTGCGAAAAAGCATCTGAAGGACTCTAAGGAACAAGATTTTACAGTTTAATGAAACCTAGACATTGAACTGTTTGGCCTCAATTCTAAAAGCTAAGTTTGTTGGAATCCAGGCACCGCTTAACACCTGCCCAGTACCATACCAACAGTGAAGCATGTTGGTGGCAGCATCATGCTGTGGGGGTGTTTTCAGCAGCAGGGACTGGGAGCCTGGTCAGGTTGAGGGAAAGCTGAATTGAGCAAAGTACAAAGATATCTTCAATGAAAACCTGTTCTACAGCACACAGAACCTTCAACTGAGCCAAAGGTTCACCTTACAACATGACAACAATCCTAAGCACACAGGCAAGACAACACAGGGGTAGCTTAGGGGACAGCTCTGTGAATGTCCTAGTGACCCAGCCAGAGCCCTGACTGGGCTGCACCCTATTGAACATCTTGAGAGACCTGAAAATGGCTGTCCACCAACAGTTTCCATCCAGCCTGACTGAGCTTGAGAGAATTTGCAGAAAATACCCCAATCCAGGTGCGCAAAGCTTCATACCCAAAAAGACGCAAGGCTGTAATTACTGCCAAAGGTGCTTCAACAAAGTACTGAGTAAAGGGTCTAAATACTTAATTACAGGTGATATTTCAGTTTTTGCTTTTTAATAAATTCAGACATTTCTAAAATTCTGTTTTCACTTTTTCATTATGGGGTTCGAAGTAAAGATTAATAAGAAAAAACATGAATTTAACCACTTCACCGCTCACACCTGTTCACCCCTTATAGACCAGAACATTTTTTACATTTCTGCTAAGGGCCTGTTTATTCGGCGATTAACTTTGTCATTAAGTTAAAAACATAATAGTCCTTCTTTTTTTTTTTTTTTTTTTTTTCTTTTCTTTTTTTGAGAAGTGTTAGTTCTGCACTGTGTTAGTGCGCACAAATAGTGCACATTTATTCTGTAATTTGTCTTGTTTAAAAATGACATTAAAAGTGTGGGGGGGTGTTTCATTTTTTTTTCTCCTTTTTTTTAAATGTAAAATTTGTAAATATATGTAGAGGGTGTAAGAAATATTAATAAAAACAAAAAGTTTAAGTATTAATAAAATAAACAGAAAATCCACAGGAAAATAATAATTGAATGGAGGAAAATAAGGGTTTTTTTCCAATTGGGTGTTCCGTTTGTCTGTTTGTTTCATCTGTCTGTTTATGGATGAAAAACGGACACCCATGTATTTCTATGGACTTGCGGATGAAAACGGGTGAACATCTTTTAATGTCCACATCCATTAACATCCATTTTTTTTGACCGGAAGAAATCCCTATTTTTCTTCCGTAAAAAAACAAAAAAAAACGAAAAAAAACAGATGCTAGCAGACGATATCCACTTGCATCCAATCCGCTAACATCCATTTTTCTGCAAATTTGCATATTTGTTTTTAATGCATGCTGGGTTTGAGCAAAATGTCTTTGGAAATTTCCATGACTCCTGAAAAAATGGATGCAAACAGACCGCAAACTGCTCAAAAACAGATGTGAAAACTGAGGTAAAAAGTGCAGTCTTTTTCAGCTCTAATTTTTGAAAAAAAAAAAAAAAAAAAACCACAACTGAACTGTTGAAAAAAACGGAAACCGCCTGTGTAAAAGATCCCTAAGCCGTTAATTAGGGCTGATTAAAGTAAACTAAGGGTTAATTAGGTGTTAAACAGGAACATTTTTAATAAAAAAAAAAGAAACTTTTTTTTTTGTTTTTACTTTCAGTTTGCTTTAACTGACTTCCTCTTTAGATGGAATTTTATCCCTTTGATCTGCAGATGAATAAACAGATACAAAATGAAACCTTGTTTCTTTTGTATGTTTCTGTATTCAGTTGAGCAATGTTGTTGATGAACATTGCCAGACTACTTTTTTTTTTTTTTTTTTTCCTTTACAGCTCCAACTGTCAGAACTTTCTCTGTACTCCACATTGCCTATGATGAATCTGAACTGAATTGCTGAGTACTGGGACAGAGAAGGTCCTGGCAGCAGGGCAGAAGGCCTGGATGTGTTGCACACGCCCTGTGTACAATGATAAAATTTTTTGGGCATTTCTAACACGCCCAGAGTCTGCAACTGGTGAAACAACTGTAGTATCAGGCTGCAAAATAACAACTTTGAAAAAGTGAAGGGGGTCTGAATATCCAGGAGAGTCAACTCCATTTACCTTTTTTAATCTGAGATTGACTAGATTTCTGTAAATTCTGTTATGCTTTTAAGCATGTGTGCTTCCTTTTGGAGTCTTGAGCAGGGTTAGCAACCTCTGGTGTGTAGTTTTTACCTTTTGAACAGCGGGTGTTCTCAAAACATAAGGGTGGCCTGATACACATCTGGGCTTACATAGAGCATAGCTTTGCCAGAATTAAATCTTGAATGATTCTATGTCTATGAAAAGTGTGTTTAGTCTATTGATGAAAGACTACAATTTTTGTTAAGGGGCATCTGTATTTGTAGTTTAGGGTACATTTAATCTGCTCAAACTTCTTAGGGCCTCCTGCCTTTCCCTGATTTTTTTTTTTTTTGTTGTTTTTTTTATAATTTTGAACTAAAATACAGTTGCTTGATGTCCAGCACTGCACAGTAACTAGTGATTGCTCGTCTCCACTCCACTTCAGTTCAAAGCACATATGTGCCAAGTTTGACTACCTTTCCTTCTGAAATGAATGATTTATGTTAGGCAAGCCACAAAGCAAAGCATTTGGACAGCCTTCATTTTAGTTAGATGACAACTAGTTTTCAAATCTTTTTCTGAAAAATGATAAGTTGTTTATGGGTGGACTGACACTTTTGAAAAAAATGGCCTATAACCTTGCTTATCTAAGAACAAAGTTAATTTTAGATTAAAATTTATAAGGTTGTGCTACTAACACCCTGATGCACCCTTGCATAGACGGTAAACAAACCCAAGTAAGGGATGCCTATGATCCAGGCAGCTGATTAGCCATGTGACATAGACCTGAGGTCCTTGGTATCCTCCATGTGAGTAGGTGGAGTGGGCCTCTGGGTTCCTTAGCATTCTGTTTGTGGAGACTTGAAGAGGCAGCAGTTTTCTACGTTTTGACACCACCCTTAAAGGATGCCAATCATCAGAGTGGTTTTTTCTATTGGTGATGTATTTTAGTCCATTCTAAGAAATTGGAAAAAGTGTGCAGAATAGGAAACTGTTAAATATTGGAAGTCTTATCTGCATAATTGTTATAGGTCAGTCATTCAGAATATTGTTGTAAGGTATTCTGCTAGACAGGCTCAGTGCCCAATAACGATCAATTAGAATCAACCAAGTAAGTGTACAGGAATATCACCTCATCTTTGCAACAAAAAAACAGAATTTCAAAATAAGATGTTAACTTGTTATGAAGACATTGTGTTTGTTAAAAGGGGGTGGAAGATATTTTAATATGTGTAATAGTAGCGATTCTTGCATTTTCGTGCTAGTAAATAAAAACTTTGTCCCCCAAGCAACTGTTGCCCGGCAAAAAATTCTGGGAGAGCGATGACTCCAACAAGGATGGACCAAAAGGCATTTTTCTGGGGGATCAATGGAGAGAAAGTGCATGGGGGGCATCTGGTAAGTTGATTATAATTCTGTTGCTGTATTATTGTCTTGCTGCTTAGTGCATGAAGTGTGCTGACACCAGTATTTTAAAAATTGTTGGCTGCTATTGTGTTCAGAGTTGTAGTAACTTGGTAGTTTTAAAAAACAACCTGTTGCATTTTCAGTGTTAGTGAAGAGCCCAATATCTGGGTTCAATTCAAGCAGGGTTCAGCAAACATTTATTACAGTTTGGGTGCCAAATCTTAATTCTGGGAGTTGAATGTTAAAACAAAAATAGGTTTAGTATGCTTTTTAAAGGTAGCCCCATGAAATTTTAAACCAGACCCTTCATACACTGTGACAGGAATGGGCCAATACATTTTGACAGCTACTTGCCGACTACTGACTGCTTCCGGAGACCCTTTCATTGGGTGTTAGACCTCGTGATTGACTTGGATCTACATCCCTGGATGATGTGGTTGATGTACATCATGGGACTTTTTTGGGGTTTAGTTTGTCAAAAAATGTGGCTTTTGATTTACGCGTTGCGTTTAGGTACTATATACTCCCTTACTCATTCAGATAGAGGGGGCTGCTTTCCCCTCTAGTTGAGTCTGATATGGATTTTAAGCACAAACCCAATTCAAAATATAAAGCTTTTGGGACCCCCCCCCCCCCCCCTCCTGGCAAAGCACCTTGTTTTGATGAAGACAGCCTCTTTCCACCTTCCCTTGTTTACTTTTCTAGGTATTCCCTGCCATGTAAGTGAATGGGCCGAGTGATGGTGATTGGTAAGGACATGATGGGTGCAGGCAGGCAACCTTTGACAGCAGGAAGCTGTCATGTACGTCTATGCCGAACATCCTTCCTTTGTAAGAGATTAAATTGATGTAACCATAGAGACTAGATTGAGTCTCCTGATGCTACTATTTTGGGTGATCTAATATCCGCCTCCTGCATCCCTAAGCAGTTAATAAAAAGCTTTGCCTGATCATTATTGTTTTCCCTCAGATATGCACGTCAGGATTGTTTGTGTAGTTCCCTCATGTGTCCTCCATTGCCCAAACAGCACCACAGTTGGGTTGTTTTAAAGAGGACCAGATTAAATAATGTCTAATGATCTTATGTTTCTAATGCGTTCATCTTTCCTTTTCCTAGATCATTCAGTCTCCCAGCCTATCATGGTCCAGAGGAGGCCTGGTCAAGGATTCCATGTTGGCAGCGAAGTTAACTCTGTGCTCTCCCCTCGTTCTGAAAGTGGAGGCTTGGGAGTCAGCATGGTGGAGTACGTCCTCAGCTCCTCTCCTGGAGAAAACTGCCTGAGAAAAGGAGGATTTGTAAGTGCCTCTCCCTTAATACAAACAAGGGGGGGAGCCCTTCGATTGCCAAGATATAGAAAAATGCAGGTAAAAACAAAAATGGCTGCAGGGAAGCACAGTCAGTCTTTAACATTGTTAGTGCGCCCTTTAGGTTGTGAATTTGACTGTGTGAAAGCCATATTGTGTTAACCTAAAATCTTCTGAGCTCCCATTTTAAACACTATATTTTTTCTGAACTATTGCTAATATACCAGTACTGAAAATTTAGTAATTATATTTTATAGGAGGACCAGTTTCAGTCTTTCCAGTACCTTTTTTTTCTGGATGTCATATTTATGGTTTCTGATGCCATATTGGAAAGGAAATAATGTTCTCGAGGTTAATGATCACCCAAATGTCAGCTTCAGAGCTATTGAAGGCCTAGGAAATGTATAGCTTAAGATAAATTGAGAGACAGATTTGGGTTTCACTTGTGTGGTTGTTTTAATCAGTTTTAAAACACATTTGATCTTTAAGGGCCCTCGTGATCCCGAAGGAGAAGAAAATGACAAAGGGGATAAAAAAAGCAAAGGTGTCTATGAAGGGGATAAATTAGGAGACCTGAAGGAGGAAGGTGACAATATGGATAAGGCTAATGGGCTTCCGGTCCAGAACGGGATTGATGGTGATGTAAAGGATTTCAGGTATGACCCTAAAGTATTTTTTACATTTCAAAATATATGTATGCTTTGGTTTTTACTTTTATGAAAGGATAAAAGCTGTTTTTGTTCTACATCTTGAGCCTTTATTTTATCAGATGTAAAATGTTACAGTTCATGTATGTTCCCAGTAAAACGCCTATAGTTTTGGTGGTATAAAGCTTGCTTTCTGTATGCAGATGTTGAGTGTTACTTATTTTCTATTGTGCTGTAATCCATGCTGTATGTGTGATGTCACTGCTGACACTGCTTTTTATAACTTTCAAGTGTGTGTTAAAGGGGTTTTCCACCCATAGAATTTTGCAATCCTATTTTGAAACCCAGAGTAGTTAACACATGAAACTCTGTTCTAATGTTTGTTCAACAGTACATCCTCTGACAGTGTTAGAATGCTTTTTGTGTTGCAGCTTCAGTTAGCTTTTTGTGTTGTTGAGCATTTATAAATAAAGGGTAAAGGGGCAGCTGAGTGTTATGTATATTGAGTCTTGTATTACCTGAAAAAATCTTGGTGGATTTGGACACTTGTCTAGGTCCCTTCATGCATAGCTTGTTTGTACTTTCTATTATTAACTAGAATTAATAATTGGGTAACATTGGGTTCCAATGGGAAACCGTAGACAAAAAATAAAATGGAACAAAGGCAGAGTTTTGCCTATTGTGGCCAATTTGATTCCATGTTTAAAGAGGAACTACACTGCATCTGAGTACCACAAAGCAAATACGCTATTTAATTAATTTTAAATGGTCAAAGCAAATTTGCTTATCCATCCAGGTCTCTGTTTTATTTTGCTGAGATACCACTTTGAAAAATACCCCCTAGCATTTCTGGTCAGGAAATGAGTAATATGGGGTACACACCACTATTTTTTTTTTTTTTTTTTGTTTTTGTTTTTTTTTGTTTTTTTTTTCAATAAAAACCAATCAATGTGCCCCCTCTGCCAGGACACACTGATCAGCCATTGGATGCGAACGCTGATCGGATCGCCATCTGGTGCTGGTTTTCCAGCATACCCATTTGATAGAAGCCAGAGAACCTGCTGCACACACTGGCTGAATGTTGGCCAGTTTCTTTTGAACTGTCTGATATTCTGGCAGTGTGTACCGGCCTTAAGGACAGATGATTTATGTAGCATTTACTTCCTGGAATCCATCTGCCCTTAGCTTAAGCATGCAGGCAGGAAGGTATGATTAGCTGAGAAAACTCCTCCTTTCCTCCTGGGATTTATGACATCATTTGCTTAGGCCAGGTAGTAACTAAAGGAAATGTAAACAAAGGAAATGTAAACAAAAAAAATGTAATATACCTTCCTATATACTGCAGGTAAAATAAGTATTGAACACGTCACCATGTTTCTCAGTAAATATATTTCTAAAGGTGCTATTGACATGAAATTTATTTTTTACCACATGTCAGTAACAACCCATGCAATCTATACATACAAAGAAAACAGGTAAGTTCAGAAAGTTTGTGGAATAAAATGGAATAACACAGGGAAAAATATTGAACACACAAAGAAAGGGTGGTTCAAAAAGGCATGGAAGGCCAAGACACCAGCTGAAATCTATCAGTAATTAGAAAGCAGTCCTGGCCCTTGTCAGTGCAAATTAATATTAACAGTTCAATCTCAACTGATGGCCTATAAAAAGGTGTCACACAAGAAACATCTCATGATTGGTAAAAGCAAAGAGCTCTCTCAAGACCTTTGCAACCTTACTGTTGCAAAACATACTGGTGGCATTGATTACAGAAGGATTTCTCAACTTCTGAATGTTCCAATGAGCACTGTTTGGACCATAATCCGGAAGTGGAAAGAACATTATTTCACCATAAACCGGCCACGGCCAGGTGCTCCTTGCAAGATTTCTGACAGAGTAGTGAAAACAATTCAGAAGAGTTGTCCAAGAGCCAAGGACCACTTGTGGAGAGCTTCAGAAAGCCCTGGAATTAGGTAGAATTGTTTCAAATAAAACAATGACTAATGCACTCAATTGTATGCACGCTCACGACGCAAGACTCCATTGCTGATGAAAAAGCATGTTGAAGCTCGTTTAAAGTTTTCTGCACAACATTTAGACAAGCCTGTGAAATACTGGGAGAATATAGTCTGGTCAGATGACACCAAAATTGAACTCTTTGGATGCCATAATACACACCATGTTTGGAGGTCAAATGGCACTGCACATCACCCCAAAAACACCATACCAACAGTGAAGTTTGGAGGTGGGAACATCATGGTGAGGGACCGTTTTTCAGCATACGGTACTGGCAAACTTCATTTCATCAAAGGAAGGATAAATGGAAAAATGTACAAAGACATTCTTGATAAAAAATTCTGCTGCCATCTACCAGGATGATGAAGATGAAACGAGGGTGGACATTTCAGTAACACAATGATCCTAAAGCCAAGGAAACTCTCAATTGGGTTCAAAGAAAATATAGCTGCTAGAATGTCCCAGCCAATCACGTGACTTGAGTCCACTAGAAAATCTAATGGCAGAACTAAAGATAGAGGCCCACAGAACCTTCAAGATTTGAAGACATACAACTAGTTACTTTATACAGGAGGCATCTTGAAGCTGTCATTCCCAACCAAGGATTTTGTACGATGTATTGAAAAAATTTCAGTTAGTGTGTTCAATACTTTTTCCCTGTGTCATTCCATTTTATTACACATAATTTCTGAACTTATTTGTTTTGTTTCTTTGGATTTGTGGCTTGCTTGGGCTGTTACTGACGTGATAAAAATTTTAATGTCAGTAGCACCTTTAGAAATCTATTTACTGTGAAAAATGGTGACGTGTTCAATACTTATTTTACCCACTATATTTACTAATGCTTGCAGCATAAGTATTCAAATTAGTTGATTGAGAGCTTGAATTTCCACTTTAATTTACCAGGGGTTTTGTTTTCCAGACTCCTATAAAATATTTACTTGTCAAACAATGATATTTGTGTGTGACTTTACATAAACCCATCCTTCCGCTCTCTAAGCTACACTGTGTTAACCCCTCACCCATAACACAGCATTTTACATACCTTCATTTCATTGCCAGAGTTTCCTTTGGCATTTACATCCCTTCCAACAAAATCTGTTCAGTGTTTGCTGTATCCCCAAAGGCTTGAATGTACTCTGTACATATGGCTTTAGTTGGGTCTATGTGGACAAACTGTAGTTGTGGCCAGCACGAAACAAATCTGGTCAGAATACATGTGAACATGTATTCTGACCAGATTTGTTTTGTGCTGGCCACAACTACAGTTTGTCCACATAGGCCCAACTAGAGCCATATGTATAGAGTACATTCAAGCTTTTGGGGACACAGCAAACACTGAACAGATTTTGTTGGAAGGGATGAAATGCCAGAGGAAGCTCTGGCAATGCAAATGAGGTATGTAATTTTTTTTTTTTTTTCTTTTTTTTTTTGTTTTTTTTTTTTTTTTTTTTTTCAATGCTGTGTTATGGGTAACACTGGAGCAGGCTGTGGTGTTAGAGTGGAGTTGGCTAATGGCAGCCTCCCTATTTCTATCATGATAGGTTCACTTTAACTGAAGTATTGTCCAAAAAAAAAAATATGTTTTTATATTTTAGTAACTGTGTGTGTTTTCCCTTCAGCCGTACTCCAGGTAACTGCCAGAACTCTGCAAATGAGGTGGATCTTCTTGGACCAAGTCAGAATGGTGCTGAGGGACTTGCTCAATTGACCAACAGCAATGGAGCAAAGCCAGTAGAGGACTTTGGTGGCATGGAGTCTCAAAGTGTCCAGCTGGATCCAATGGAGCATGTTGGCATGGAACCTCTACAGTTTGACTATCAGGGCAACCAAGTTCCAGTTGATTCAGGAGCTACCACAGTTGGCCTCTTTGATTATAATTCTCAACAGCAGGTACATGTAGTGTGATTTAAATTGTACAGCTGTTTTCCTTCATTTGTATATATATTTTTTAAATACTGTTTTTTTCATAAAGTTGTTTCAGAGACCGAATGCTCTTGCAGTACAGCAACTAACAGCAGCCCAGCAGCAACAGTACGCATTAGCAGCAGCACACCAGCCGCACATAGGTAAGGTAATACGTTGTCTCTCGGAGATGCTGGTTTTAGTTTTTCATAAAATGTTTGGTAAAGTTATGTTGACTGTAGCTCACTAGGAAGTTGAAAATGTCAAGCTAGTAAACAGCAGTTGGTGACATCAAAGGCTTTTCCATCTTTTTCCCTGCTGCATCTCTGTCTTGACTAGATCATTATTAAGACATGTAGTGGTTTCGCCAAGGCTTTTTGAATTGCTGGCATAACATAATTAGAATTTTGTTTGTACAGAAATTCAGCAAAATCATTTGTCAGAACATATGATCTTGCCAGTCAACTGATTTTGTTCGAAAGCCTTGAAAATTTATTTCAGACAGGCTACTTGAATAAATCCAGACATCCTAAACAGGTTTATTTTGCACCTAAAACTTTATTGGAGAATAATTTTCCATTCTGCCTTTGAAAAGCTTTTTAATGATTAGTGGGGTCAAATCGACTATCATTTCCAAACAATGACAAAAGTTCAAACAAATTTCTGCTAGTGTATGGCCAGCTTTAAAGTAGTTGAAACCTTTGCATATAACCTGTGAAGTGACTGACGTCAGATGATGTATAGAAATGAAACTGAGCCTCCTACTTGGGGTGTACCTGTTTATCTGTAACTGTCAGTTCTGTACAGCCTTCTACAACACACAGAATCTGTCAGCATTTCTCAGCAGCACAAAGCAGGGGGAGGGAATCTGTATTCACACACTGTACAGCTAAGGAGAACTCTGAGCCCCTCTCAAATTACACCGGGAACAAGCACAACTGTGGCTGTCAGTCATAGGTTGAATGGTGGATCTTTCCTTCCACGGCCATGTTTCTCTTGGTTTGCTTGGTGTCAGGAGTGCAGGTAACAGAAGAATGAGGCAGCAGAGAGAAATCACACTCAGAGCTTTGAATAGAGACAAATATGCAGTATAAAAGATTTCTTGTCTCAGGTTTCAACCACTTTAGGGCTTGGCTTGAGGGCTGACACCCATTTACAGGTCTATCACATATAGATTCTGCCTGTAGTCTTGTGTTTTGATATTTTCTTTAGTACAAGCCTCTTACAAGCCTGGTTGATGTGTTTTAACATGTTGATTCGGGCATCAATGCAGAACTGAGGAATTAATTACTTTTTTTTTTTTTTCTTGAATTACTCCATTTACAAGAATAAATTTGGGATATGCAGTATAGGCAGATTAAAAAAATAATTTGGCAGTGGCACACATATAAAGGGGTTTTAAAACTGTGTTGAGGATTCATGGCGAAATTAGATAAACATTGTAAACATATAGGTGTTTTATATCTTTGAAAGCAGGACAGGTTGTTGTGATAAACGATAGCTGTACAGCAATTGTTACACTATTTAAGAGAGTTTGAAGATGACCTGTGTTGCTAGCATTTGTTTTTTTTGTTGTTGCTTCAGTCATTTTCTTTGCAAAGGTAGTTCTGTCAACCAGGACAAGATACTGTGTTCAGAGTGTTCTCTGGTTATTCCCTCACTGCAGCCTTGAATAGGTATCTACTTGGGTGTTTTATTTTAAACATAATTGATGGCAGTTTGGTGCTTCATTGCTTTTATATTGCCTACTGGCTTAGATGAATGTATTTTCAGCAGTTGGCAGAAGTTTCCTCATGCACTGTTTTGCATTTCTGGACAAGTTCTCTTCAAGGATTCCACAGAAAAAAGAGAGGAAGAGATGAAGATACACTCCCACTAATATGATGTTACAGATCATTTTTGGTCCAGTCACTGTTTTTTGTTTTTTTTTTTTTTTTTTGTTTTTTTTTTTTTTTAAGATGCCTGTTCATTCTGAATTTCTCATGGGACTTAATCTAGATGATTTTTACATCCAGTTTTGTTGGACTGTCATTGCCACAAGCCTAGCATAAGGCAATAGCCATATTCAGAACCATGAGGCCTAAAGTAAACCTCTGCCAAGAGAGACATGCAGGCTACCATTGCTAATCCTTTTTCTTTTTAAAATAATAGTTGGGGGATTGGTTGCCTACATCATGGCATTCCTGAAGATATTGAAAACTGGTTTACTATCATTAGCTTTATGACCACTAACATTAGCTTTATCAACAGTAAATGCTTCTAACTATTTTTATATTAGTTCCTACTCTTCCGTTATTGTAGAAGATGCCACTGGCTGTTTGCATCGCTGTCAAAAAAAAACTATACGCAACGTAAGATTGTGTCCCTAGAAGTACCCATTTTGATTAGTTTCTTACTGGTACAGAATCAAAAGTATGAGGGTTCTTCATAAAGTTTCCGCACTTTTTCAAACTCTATATATGTGTGTGTGTGTGTATATATATATATATATATATATATATATATATATATATATATATATAATATATAAATGTTTGAAGACCCAATGTTATCAACATGTCCCTGATAAAATGCACCTTCAGGTAGAGTGCATGTTGTGTACAGTATATCCCTGGTAGTGTTTTCCATGTGATAAGTATGTCCATGATAAAATGCAAAATGTATGCTTTATGTCCCTGACAGAGATAATCGTATGTGATCAACTTGTAGCTGGGAGAGCATACCGTTTTGGCCATCCTTTCCATTTTATTGTCCGAATGTCCTTCGCAGTATGCTTTGTGCATCTCTGGACATGTACCGGGTCCTTCTTCCCTATCTAAGCAGCTGCTGTATATGCTATACATGCCCCATGAATTTCCTTTTTACTGGTGCAAATCTGTGATACTTTACTGTCCACACCTGTATACACGACTCAAAAAAAATTAAAGGAACACTTTGAAAAGACATCAGATCTCAATGGGGAAAAACATCATGCTGGATATCTATACTGATATGGACTTGGTAATGTGTTAGGAACGTAAGGATGCTCCATTGTTTGATGGGAATGAAAATTATCAACCTACAGAGGACTGAATTCAAAGACACCCCAAAAATCAAAGTGAAAAAATGATGCAGCAGGCCAATCCATTTTGCTGAAATTTTATTGCAGCAACTCAAAATGGTACTCAGTAGTTTGTATGGCCCCCACATGCTTGTATACATGCCTGGCAATGTCGGGGCATGCTCCTAATGAGACGACAGATGGTGTCCTGGGGTATTTCTTCCCAGATTTGGACCAGGGTATCACTGAGCTCTTGGACAGTCTGAGGTCAAACCTGGTGGCGTCGGATGGATAGAAGCATGATATACCAAAGGTGTTCTATTGGATTTAGGTCAGGCGAGCGTGGGGGCCATTCAATGGTATCAGTTCCTTCATCCTCCAGGAACTGCCTGCATACTGTTGTCACATGAAGCCGGGCATTGTCGCGCTGCAGGAGGAACCCAGGACCCACTGGACCACCAAAGGGTCTGACAATGGGTGTAAGGATTTCATCCCGATATCTAATGGCAGTCAGGGTGCCATTGTCTAGCCTGTAGAGGTTTGTGCGTCCCTCCAGACCAACACTGACCCACCACCAAAACGGTCATGCTGAACAATGTTCCAGGCAGCATAATATTCTCCACATCTTCTCTAGACCCTTTCACGTTTGTCACATGTGCTCATCTGTGAAAAGCACAGTGTGCCAGTGGCGGACCTGTCAATTCTGGTGTTCAGTGTCAAATGCCAATCGAGCTCTATGGTGCTGGGCAAGTGAGCACAGGGCCCACTCGAGGACGTCGGGCCCTCAGGCCACCCTCATGAAGTCTGTTTCTGATTGTTTGGTCACAGACATTCATATCAGTGGCATGCTGGAGGTAATTTTGTAGGGCTCTGGCAGTGTATCATCCTTGCACAAAGGAGCAGATACTGGTAGAAGAACATTCTACGGCCCTGTCCAGCTCTCCTAGAGTATCTGCCTGTCTCATGGAATCTCCTCCATGCTCTTGAGAGTATGCTGGGAGACACCGCAAACCTTCTGGCAATGGCACGTATTGCTGTGCCATCCTGGAGGAGTTGGACTGTCTGTGCAACCTCTGTAGGGTCCAGGTATCGCCTCATGCTACCAGTAGTGACACTGACCCTAGTCAAATGCAAAACTAGTGAAAAACTGTCAGAAAAGATGAGTAAGAAAAAAAATGTCCGTGCCTCCATCTGTAAAACCATTCCTGTTTTGTGGGTCATCTCATTGTTGCCCATCTAGTGCACTTGTTGTTCATTTCATTAACACCAAAGTAAACTGATTAACAACCCCCTTTGCTACTTAACTGACCTGATCAATGTCCCAGGAGTTTAATTGACATGATGCTATACGCTGATTACAAAGTATTCCGTTAATATTTTTCAGCAGTGTGTAATGTGTTTATGCTACATAGACTGGGCAGGGTGTATAAGTGAGCACCTGCTATCAGGGCACGTGTGGCCAGACTGCAGGCACTCAGCTCAGCATCACAATTATTGAATTAGTATTAAGCAAGTATCTTTATCTTTGGCTGAAAAACATTTGTTTAACCATTATTTTCAGTTAGCATGTAAGCCTTCACTGAAAAGTGACATCCTCTGAAATATTAATACCTCTGAAAGAGGACAAGATGTCCAAATTGGTGTTTTGCCCTACAATAACTGCTCTGTGGAATCCTAATCTGCTCTCCATAGTCTACCGCAAAATTTAGTTTCTAAATTTTTGTTTCTGCCACCTTGGAGTCCTTTTGCTTTTGTGTGATTGTTCTTGTTGCTGTAAATATATTTCCTTCCTTATTTTATCAGAACTGCTTAGCTTTCCTTAAAGCAGAGTTCCACTCACTCTGTAAAAAAAAAATAGGTCAGCAGCTACAAAAACTGTAGCTGCTAACTTTTAAAAAACAGCCACTCACCTTTCCCACGATCCCGCGTTGCCCCCGCCGCAACCCGTTTCACCGGTCGTCCTGTATTCCTGAAGGCTGGCATCTTCAGTGTGGGCACCCGGCTTGCAGCTTCACAGCCGGATGCCCACTGCACATGCGTGAGTAGCGCTGCACTTCCTGAATGGCCCCGTCATCTTCTGGGACCTGTCACGTCTCCCACAAGATTTTGGGGAGGGAGAGTAGAAGGACAACTTCCATTTCCGATCGCCTAGGCGACCTGCGGCTCTCTAGCTGTTGTGGAACTACATTTCCCATGAGGCATTGCAACATTACAAAACTGACAGTTACAGCTATGACTTGCAGAGGCATGATGGAACTTGTAGTCCTGCAACAGCTGGAGAGCCACAGGTTGCCTACTCCTGGCCTAGGCGATCACACTGGAAGTGGGAGCAGGTACCTGTCAAATTCGGGTACCTGCCTCCCCCCCGCACACCAAAGGTGCCAATCCTTAATGGGGAGCGGGGAACCAATCTTTAAAGCAGAACTTCCCCTTTTGGGTGGAACTCTGCTTTAAAGCAAGCTGTGTCCAAGGACACAGCAGATCACCCTGTAAATGTAGTTGCAGGTTATCGGCTGCACTTTCCTCACGCTGTCACAGAAAACAGATCAGCACTGATGATCAAGCTCAGTGTCAGCTCATCAGTGAAGCCTCATCAATGCACATCAGGCAAGGAGCAAAATTACCTGTTTGCAAAATTTTACAATACAAAGAAGCTTTTTTTGTTTATAGCACAAAAAATAAAATGCCCAGTAGTGATTAAATACCACCAAAAGAAAGCTCTATTTGTGTGAAAAAATGATAAAAATTTCATAGGGGTTCAGTGTTGCATGAGTGCGCAGTTGTCATTCAATGTGCAACATAGCTGAAAATTGGCCTGGGCACGAAGGGGGGTATAAGTGCCCAGTAGGCAAGTGGATAAGGAATCGGCCAGGTATTCCATCCGTTTCGCATTTCTGATCCTGGAGTGCAGTTCAACGGGGGGGGGGGGGGGGGGGGGGGGGGGGGGGCTTCTGTTTTTTCCATTTGAGAGCAACCAGGCACCTTGGTTTGAGTGTTTTGAAATATACAATTTTATCTATGCAAGAAGATAGTGATTTGTGGTACTTCTAAAGTGTGCTTGTTAAAATGGTTGTAAAGGCAGTAGGTTCTTTATCTTCTTACTTACCAGAGTCCGATCTCTATCCAGCAATGTGCACAAGAGCAGAGGCTCGTCCGCTCTTTCTTGTTCTCTCTCTCTCGGGGCTGCTCTGTGCGAAACCATTGCACAGAGCAGGTATGACATGTTTGTTTTAAAAAAATAACTCAAAATCTGCCTTTACAATCACTTTAAGTGGCCTGCATGTATACAATTATGGGTTCATTGAAACAAAGGCCACACACTACACTAGAGGTGTTTTTTTTTTTTTTTTCATTTACCATTCCAAAGCATTTTGTTCCATTTATTTTTTTCTGACCTGGGATAAATGAAAGCATATCTTACATTGTGTTCTCCTTCTTACTTGTTTTGGGTCACTAACAAATGATATAGAAACCAGAGAAGGCCAGCCAGCTAAGATTTTTAATTGGTCAGCTGTGGCAGCTTATTTATTTATTTATTTTTGTTTCTTGGTACTGGTTTATGTTGACCATGACCACAGTGACCCATTCCAGCTGTAATTGCAATTACTAGGCTGTGAAAACATTCTGCTGTGTCCTGTACCATTCTAGCACAAAACCTGGATGGTCTCTTCCTCAGAATAGTTGCTAGTTACCTTATTTCTGTGTATCTATGTAATGCTTTGCTTTTCCAAAGTGGAACTAGTTTTTTTTTTCTCTTTTAGTGTTGGCACACAACATTAGGTGTTTTAATTCTTTATATAGTATGTAAATACACTCACTGGCCACTTTTTATAGGTACACCTGTTCAATTGCATGGTAACACATATTGCTAATCAGCCAATCACATGGCAGCAACTCAATGCATTTAGGCATCTAGACGTGGTGAAGGCAACTTTATGAATTTCAAACTGAGCATCAGAATGGGGAAGAAAGGGGATTTAAGTGACTTTGAACGTGGCATGTTTGTTGGTCCCAGTCGTTTTGGTATGACTATTTCAAAAACTGCTGCTCTACTGGGATTTTTACTCACAACCATCTGTAGGGTATGAGAATGGTCCGAAAAAGAGAAAATATCCATCCAGTTGTGTGGACAAAAAGGCCTTGTAAATGTCAGAGGAGAATGGTTAGACTGGTTCGAGATGATAGGCAAAAGTAATTCAAATAACCACTCTTTACAATCAAGGTATGCAGCATACCATCTCTGAACGCACAACACGTTGAAGCAGATGGGCTACAGCAGCAGAAGACCACACCGGGTGCTACTCCTGTCAGCTAAGAACAGGAAATGGAGGCTACAATTCACACAGGCTCACCAAAATTGGACAATAGAAGATTGCAAAAACATTGCCTGGTCTCGATTTCAGCTGGGACATTCAGATGGTAGGGTCAGAATTTGGCGTAAGCAACATGAAAGTATGGATCCACCCTGCCTTGTATCAATGATTCAGGTTGGTGGTTGTGGTGTAATGGTATGGGGGATATTTTCTTGGCACACTTTGGCCCCCTTAGTGCCAATTGAGCATTGTTTAAACACCATGGCCTAACCTGAGTATTGTTGCTGACCATGTTCATCCCTTTATGACTACAGTGTACCTATCTTCTTCCAGAAGGATAATGCACCATGTCACGAAACTAAAATCTCAAACTGGTTTCTTGAACATGGCAATGAGTTCACTGTACTCTAATGGCCTCCACAGTCACCAGATCTCAATCCAATAGAGCAACTTTGGGATGCGGCGGAACGGGAGATTCGCATCATGGATGTGCAGCCGACAAGTCTGCTGTGACTGCATGATGCTCTCATGTCAGTATGGACCAAAATCTCTGAGGAATGTTGCCAACACCTTGTTGATTTGATGCTGTGAAGAATTAAGACAGTTTTGAAGGCAAGAGGGGGTCCAACCTGGTACTAGCAAGGTGTTACTAATAAAGTGGCCAGTGAGTGTATAAGGGAAATTGAAATGGCAAAGTGTTTATTACTGTTGAATTGATGCATTTCATATGTTTCCCTAAAATGTAGTGTCATAGCATACATAGGATATCTCCTCTAATGACGATGCTTTTACTCCAAATTTTGGTCTGTCTCTAACTGACCCCTCCCAAAAATAGACACATATTTGACACTAAAAGCATGGTGTATTTTTACTAATTGGATACAAGACACTTTTCCTATATTGGCAATGTACTGAAGTCTGCTTTCACTGACAGGTATGTTTTCAGCAGGTCTAGCTCCAGCTGCGTTTGTACCAAACCCTTACATCATCAGTGCAGCGCCTCCTGGAACAGATCCCTTATGCAGCTGGTCTTGCAGCAGCAGCTACGCTTGGTAAGGTTTCCTTTTGTTTCTATACTGCTTGATGTTGCTTGTAATTTCAACTTGTGCTTGGTGTATTGTTTTTGTTATACTAGTTCTGTTTAGGGTTAAGGATGGATTTTATATTGGATAATGACTGTTGACTTTCATCAGGCCCAGCTGTGGTTCCCCACCAATATTACGGTGTCACTCCATGGGGAGTATATCCTGCCAACCTCTTTCAGCAGCAAGCGGCGGCGGCTGCAGCAGCAAACAACTCTGCATCTCAACAGAACAATCCTCAGAATCAGCAGGGCCAGCAACAGGTGAGTATTCTTATCTTTTGGCATGTTGGTCCCTTAGTCATTTTTCAGGGACCACAGTCAGGTCATTATTTGCGAGCCTTCTTCTCTTCCAAGTCTGAGAGATCTAACATGATCTGTTAGAGGTCCCCATAGGGGCAAAGTCTTAGAAATATTGTTTGACAGCAAGGTGTGTGTGTGTTAACCATTACATAGATTTGATTGGTAAGTAATGGTACTCATGATAGATAATGCATTCAAGGGATTGTAAAGATTTTTTTGTTTCTAAAATAATGTCATACTTGCCTTCTCTGTGCAATGGCTTTGTACAGGGCAGCCCCGACCCTCATCTTCTGGGGTCCCCCACTGGTGCTTATGGCTCCTCTTGTCTTCCAAGTGCCCCCATAGCAAGCTGCTTGCTATGAGAGCACTCATGCTGGCTTGATTCCGAGCTTCACCGTGTGCATCTATTCACACACAGAGTGCAACTCAGCTCCGCCCTCACTCTCTGCTCACAGGATTTGATGGCTCCCGCTGCTGATGAGCATTCTATGAGAAGAGGAGAAAAGAGCAGCGCTGATGCAGATGGTCACACCCTGTACCGAGATCGGGCTGGGGTAAGTATTTAAGGGGTGCTGGGGGGGGGGGGGGGAGGGTACTGATTTGGAAAGGTTTTTTTTTTTAAACTCATGCACAGAATGCATTAAGGTTTAAAAAAAATAAATAATATAAACTTTACCTTTACAACCACTTTAAACCTCCACCAGCTTTCTAAACTTCAATTTCCAACTTTGCTTAGCTGCTTGTGGCTAATATGATGATCTTCATTAAATATATGATAGATGGAGTATATCAGGAAGAAGATTCCCTTGCTTGTCTTTGTATGGCTGTAGCAGAATGTTGGACTTAGAAGTTCTACATGGATGTCTCCCTGGTAGGGTCATCAAGAAGAAAACCATGCTGTTGATGCTGTCTTACTGGCATCTGATGAGTCTTGGATGGGTTTAAGAGGTTGTATTCACTTCTGGTCCATCTGTCATTTTGTTTGAGGCAATTTAGTTGTTTTCGCTTTAGTGATTTTGACTCTGAAAGCAGTAACCACCCATTTTGCATGTTTTTACCCCTTTTAAAAGTGTGTGTATTTCCTAGGTGCTTCGTGCTGGAGGTAATCAGCGACCGCTAACCCCCAACCAGAATCAACAGGGACAACAAAATGACCAGCTTGTTGCAGCAGCTGCTGTGAATTCTGCACTGGCCTTTGGGCAAGGCCTTGCTGCTGGAATGCCTGGTGAGTTGCACATTTTTTACCAAATTTTTTTTTTAAAGAAAAATTGGTTTCAGTTGTAATTTTAATTTAAAATTCTTGTAATTCTTGTAGCAAATTGATTTCAGTTAGTGTGTTGTGTGTGTGTGTGTATATATATATATATATATATATATATATATATATATATATATATATATATATATATATATAGTACAGTAAAATAGATAAGAGTGGACTTCCTGCCCAAACTTTACTTTGGGTAAAGTGAGAGAGAACTAGAACCTCAGTCAGATTTGATTGCTGTCTCTCTCCATTTAGGAGCGTCTTCCTTGCTTCTTGTGCTGTTGGCACAACAGAAGGTGAAGGAAATGTTCTTAAAAGGTTTGACAGTCATACAAATCAGGCTGATGTCTTAACCCCCCCCCCCCCCCCCCCCCCCCAAAATGGGGAAAATTAATTTAGGTTGGTGTTCCATTTCAGTATATGCAAGGAGAAATTTAATTCTGGTTGCTTACTGCAGCCAGTCCTTGTGAGTGGATGCTGGTATGGCATATTGCTTGCAGAGGGTATTAATGCTAACTTCAGGCAAACCACTAAACATATAGATGAAGTACATATGGGAGCCATTTTACCAGTCAAAGGAATTGTATTTTTGTCCATCTAGTCCTTAGATTTACACATCTCTACCACAAAGCTAGGTGGATGACATTTCTTGCTGGTAAGGAATATAGTGGTGTCCTTTTTCCACCCCAGCCTGCTGACTGGACAGTGAAAGACAAGCCATAAACTGATGAGATTGTTTTCTTTCTTCATATCTGCATGTTCCTTGTCAACATATTTTGCATACAACACACATTAATGGTTCTTAACCTAATGCTACTCTATAGGTATTGCAAGTTACCAAGCCAAATTTAGGGTTGAATGCAGAGCAGTATTCATCTGGTCTTAAAGCTGAACTTTAGGTATGGCGCTTTTTACATGGAGAGCAATTTTGCATTTTCTCAATGAATGAATCATAATATAATTGCCCCGTCTCAGCATTTCGTCCTATCTGGGAATGCTTTGCATTCATTGAAAAAAATGTGTTCCTGAATGGCACCTATGCTGAGCAAGGGACCCCTTGTGTTCAGTGTATGGGACCTGGAAGCTAGTGGCAACCACTTTAGTAGCAGTGTATACTGCAGTGATTTCCCAGTTCCACAGGGATCCCATGGATATAGTAGATACATAGTTACTAGGGATGCACCGATATATCAGCGGCCGAAATCTACCAGGCCAAAATAGTGTTATTGGCATTTTGACGATGGGGGAAAAAAGGTGCAGAAAACACTCAATTTTACCTGTGATTATACCTGTGATTTTGTTGTGATTTTTAGTGCAATTTTAAACATTTAGGGTGCGTATTTCATAGGTCATTTGACCAAAAAATGCATCAAAATGCAACACGTGTGCATCATTGATGGGTTTTCAATGCATTTCAGGCTTGGTTCACACAAATCCAGTTTACATCTTGTCCTTTTTTGCAGTGCGTTTTGCATGTGAGTTTGATGCACTTTAAATGCACTTTGGCTTTTTTTTATTTTTTTGCCAACTTATTGCTGGGCAAATTACACAAAACGCATCAAAAACACAACACGTTTTTGTTGCATTTTCAATGCATTTCAGTCCTGGTTCACACCAAAGCAATTTGCGTTTTGTTCATTTTGCAGTGCGTTTTGCGTTTTTTTGCGCTTGCGTTTTAGACGCATTTTTGAGGTGTGGGGTTTTTTTTTTTTCTCTGGCCAGCTTGTTGCTGGGCAGATGTAAAATGAAATACGCATCAAAAACACAACACGTGCATTTTTGATGCGTTTTCAGTGCATTTCAGGCCTGGATCACACCAATGCAGTTTGTGTTTTGTCAGTTTTGCAGTGCTTTTTATAGTGTTTTTTGTCTTTTTTTGAAATTTTTTTTTTTGTTGTTGGCCAGCACAAACGTGTAAAAACCGCACTACATGCGTTTTCTGCAGCATCTCCATTGAAGTTTTTTAGCTATAAATGCAACATTTTGCATTTAAAAACATCCTTGACCCTTTCCGAAAACGCAGTAGCTCAAAAAAGCATAGATGTGAACGTGTCCCATAGAAAACAATGTTAAATTGACTTTAGTGCGTGTCTGCAAAAAGCCCTAAAAAAACAGGCCTCAATGGGGAGCTGCAGTTCTGGTGCATTTTTTTTTTCTTTAACTTGCCAAATATGCACCAAAAAATGTGGCAAGCAGGGAGGTTAACACCGCAAGGGAAGCAAAATGGACCATTGTGAAGACATACATTGAATTTAAAGGGATGCATTTTCCTTGAGCTTTTCTTATGCCTTCCTTTTTTTTTATTTATTTTTTTTTTTTAAACGCAAAAGCACTGCAAAAACTGCTCAGTGTGAAAACAGCCTTTTGGCTGAAAGGTACTGAAAATAAATTCGTATTCATTTAAATTCATGCTATAAATGAAAGTCACATGTAATACAATTATATATAAATAAAATATTAAAAAAAACTGTCCATTTCGGTTTTCGGTCCAATGCATCCTGAATTTTCGGTTTCAATCCAAGAATTTTCTTTTCGCTGCACCACTAATAGTTAAATTGGTCCAAGCTGGACCAGTGTAACTATGTAAAAAGAGCCATACCTAAAAGTGAGCTTTAACCAAGTTAAGAGTGGTCACTGGTCCTGGCTATGTGGTTGTCCTGCAATATGAAACATGCAACATGTGTAGTACATGAAAGTATATAAAGTATTGCCCCTAACTGCCCTTTTAACACTGAAGAATGTGGATTGTATTGCTTGCCTGTCTATATCTGTGACATACAGATTGCTTTATATATGTTCTCTTCTATCTTATCATATTTTCTTACAGATTACTTTTCTGTTTATTCATTTAGGATATCCAGTTTTAGCTCCTGCTGCTTACTATGACCAAACAGGGGCACTTGTTGTGAATACCGGAGCCAGAAATGGGCTGGGTGGCCCTGTTCGGTTGGTAGCTCCCGCACCGGTTATTATTAGTCCATCTGCAGCTCAAGCAGGTATGTAGCACTGTTGGAAACACGTATATAGCTACATGCGTCTCAATCTATTGTGCAGAAATACCGCATACAGCTGCCATTTACTGACTTGAAAGATATTCAGTTGTCTTATACATGAAAGCTGATATTTTGCTCTATATCTGTAAGCTGTTGCAGCAGCAGCTGCTTCTGCCAACGGACCAGGTGGTGCTACAAATGGACCCTTCCGTCAATTGAATTCTCAGCAACCTCAGGGACAACCGCAACCACAAGGCAATCAGAATCTGGCGTCCAGCTCATTCTACGGCAACAGTTCCCTGACCAATAACTCTCAAAGCAGCTCCTTATTTTCACAAAGTTCAGGTCAGCCGGCGAATAGTTCATTGGGTTTTGGAAGCAGTGGATCACTGGGAGCAACGCTTAGTTCAGCACTGGGTGGCTTTGGAACAGCAGGTGAGTATCAAGAAGCTATTGATTAGCATTTACGTTGTGCTTACAGATAAAGCAGCGCTTTTTTTTTTTTTTTCTTTCTTCTTGACAGTTTTTTTTTTTCTCTCTTGCAGTTGCTAATTCTAGCACTGGTAGTGGATCACGTCGTGATTCTCTGACTGGCAGTACAGATCTATACAAAAGGACTTCCAGCAGTTTGAATCCCATTGGACATAGCTTCTACAATGGTCTAGGCTTCTCTTCCTCTCCTGGTCCTGTAGGCATGCCCCTTCCAAGCCAGGGGGCCAGCCATTCCCAGACACCCCCACCATCTTTATCCTCTCATGGATCATCTTCCAGCCTCAACCTTGGTAAGAAGCTCTCTGTATTTGGTGGATGTGCTTATTTTCTTGTCATTCAGCATGCTTTCATCACGAAACTTATTTTTGAGTGTGTATAGTCATCATTTTTGAGGTGAAAGTTTGTTTTGTTGTTTGTTTTTTTTTTTTTGTTGAAATTATTCTTTGAAAGACACAGGATTCAGAGAAAAATGGGTTATACTGCCACCAACAGGAGGATTTGGATATTGGCAAACAAACAGTGATTGGCCTCCCACTCCCAACATTCTTTGCTGCAGTCTATGGTGACCTGGTCACCTTCCAGCATTTGAACTGCTTACAGCACTCAGTTTATAAGTACTCATGGTTTTTACCTTGTATTAAAGTGTTATTAGAGTCTAGAATTTCTTTCTTTAAGTAAAATTGCAAATACCACTGCATAGAGCGGCCCCAACCCTCCTCTTCTTGGGTTCTGGCGGTGATCTTGGCCCCCCTCCCCTTTTTTCATGTATCCCCATAGCAAACGGCTGCTATGGGGGCACTGCTCACTCCCAAGCTGTGTGTCTATGGAGCCACGCTCCATAGACTCTCACAGCGGGATTTAGCCCTGCCAATGGATCCTGCTGCTACTCGAGTCCTGTGTGAAGACGAAGAGAGGGCAGAAGAGATGCATCTGTGCAAAGCACTGGATTTGTTCTCCCCTCTTCCCCATCACACAGGGAAGGGGGAGAACAGAGGAATTGAAAATGTTTTTTTACCTTATTGCAAGGAATGCGTCATGATACAAAATGTTTTTAGGTTTAGTATCACTTATAAAATGAAGTTGTTCCCATTTAGAAAGCAACATGCCGGATCCCAAACCCAAATGGAGCACTTGCATTCCTCAGGGTCCTCCATGGTCTCATTGGTTGTGGCCTCCTCTTCAGTTGTAACATGAGAGGATTTTACTGTAATAGTGCAAGATTTTATGGGAAAAGTTTATTTGCTCATTCTGTCCACAGAGAACATGAGCATAAATCCGCACCTTATCCTGTGGAATCATTTGATCTGCCTCTGAACCTTCAGTTGCAAAAGCTTTATCTAATGAAGAGTCTCAAATCCTTGCAAAAGCTTTATCCATATGAAGTTGTCCATGAGGAGGTGGCCACCATAACACCAAGGCTTTGACGTATCATATGGCTCTTAATGACAGTGTGTGCAAAGTAGTAGTAAACCTGTTGTTTTTTTTTTTTTTTTTTTTAAAGTTTCCTGTTGCAAGGTAATATAATGTGCTAGTGTGCATAGCAGTGGTGCGCTGTCACCACTGCAGATGGCAGTGCCCTCCTGGGTTTGCGGGCTGCGGCTGCTTGACTTTCTAAACCACTGGTGACATTGCGCGGGAGCTTCAGCCACATCACACAGCTTTTGAAGGGAACAGCATGGGTATGCTGTTCCTTCAGAGCGCATGCATCGGTATTGTCACTGCTGCTCCATAGAATATCTCCTAAACTGTGAATATTTAGAAGATGATAATTTTATCTACACTACCATTAGCTTTATTATAAGCTGACTTGTAGGTAAAAATATACAAAGTGAGTTTACTACCACTTGAAAGATAGTTTTGTACCTTTCACTAGTGCTGCCTACCAGTCTACGGTACCTAAGGTCCCAAGACTTCTAAAACCTTTTCCAGTGCTATTTTCAGACAGTCAGTACAATAGTGGACCACTCCTGAAACTGTTTACACCTCCCAAATGTTTTGTCGTATAGTACCTGTTTGATGAGGTCTTTATTAAAGTGATTGTAAAGGTAGAAGGTTTGCTTTAAGGTAAAAAATCTTCTGTGATCAGCTCCCCCTAGCCCCCTCTAAATACTTACCTGAGCCCAGTCTTTGATCCAGAGATGTGCCTGAAAGTAGCAACTCTGCTCACTCTCTCTCCTCAATGGACATGGAGGAAGCAGCAAGAGCCATTGAAGTCTTGCCATGGCAGAAGTAGAACAGATTCAGTCCTGACACTTTTAAAGTCTGTCGTGGATCAATAGTTGGTCCTCGGTACTATCAAGAGTCAGATCCCAACATTTGAGGTCTCATTTCAAGACCATTAGCCACTCATTCTTTGATTAAGACCTTTGTACAGGGTGTTTCCCATATGATCATTTTGTGTATGTGCAGTAGATTTGGCAGCAGTGGACGGAAATTATCGCTTAAGTTTTGGGTTCTAACTAGTCTAGAGCCTCCTTCCTCCTCAAGATTTCAGTCTTGCAGCACAAGTACATCAGAAGGAGTTTTAGATTTGTCTGAGTGTTTTTCGAGCTGTACATATGTCTTTCAGCCACTGCCTCTATTACAAGGGCTCGACTCTGCTTGCCATTTCTGATAGTCCCTATACAGGAGAACCAGCTTCTCATTTCTCCACTTCTAAGTGGCTCAGAAATATTATCCAAGATTTTGGTCTTAAAGTGGTTCTAAAGGCAGAAGGCTATCACTATTTATTCTTTTTTTTTTTTTTTTACCTTTAAAGCATTCTGTGTACGAAGGTAAAAAATCTTCTGGGTGCAGCACCCCCTTATACTTATCTGAGCCCCATCTCGATCTGGCGATGTGCATGAAAGCGGCAGCTCTTCCAGGTCTCTCTCTCCCCTCATTGGCTCACACAGCATGGGAGCCATTGGCGGGGGTGCATAGTGGCTGCTCTGTGCAAAGCATTGCACACAGCAGGTAATTGTAACAGGTTTAAAAAAATAAAAAAAACACGTTTGGAATTGCTTTAGGGATGAGGTTCCACTGTTACCTTTCAAGGCACACTCTTTATTAGATCTTACAGTTCTTCCTAGGGTTTTTCGGCATCCGTAGACTTTCTAAGGCTGGCCATATTCTATACAATCTTACTGTACAATCTCTGTAGATATAAGTTTTCACTATATCACCAGGGATATAGTTGTTATGTGTATGAAGATATTGCACTAGTTTATAATTATTTATAATTATTTTGTATTAATATGATTTGAGTATTCACTAGATAAATATAAGTTGAGCGCTTCACCACTTATATGATCTAAAGCAGCAGAAGGTTTTTTTTTTTTTACCTTTAAAGCATTCTGTGTACGAAGGTAAAAAATCTTCTGGGTGCAGCACCCCTTATACTTATCTGAGCCCCAAATGAAAGCGGCAGCTCTTCCAGGTCTCCTCTCTCTCCCCTCATTGGCTCACACAGCATGGGAGCCATTGGCGGGGGGTGCATAGTGGCTGCTCTGTGCAAAGCATTGCACACAGCAGGTAATTGTAACAGGTTTTTAAAAAAATAAAAAAAAACACGTTTGGAATCGCTTTAGGGATGAGGTTCCACTGTTACCTTTCAAGGCACACTCTTTATTAGATCTTACAGTTCTTCCTAGGTTTTTCGGCATCCGTAGACTTTCTAAGGCTGGCCATATTTCTATACAATCTTACTGTTACAATCTCTGTACAATCTCCTTTAGATTTACCAAGCCTGTAATATAAGGACAAAACTAAACCATGCATTGCAGTTTTATATCAGATAGACACTTGCACTACAGATATTATGGTAGATCTAAAAGATTGTATGATCAAGTTGTGTAGGGTATGGTCACCTTTAGTTTTACCATGTAGATTTTTAGGGCTCTTCTAATGCCGATCTTGGGCAGAAGTCTTTCAGGCAGTTCTTTGCTTTTAGTTAGGCCTTTTAGCATTTTGCTTGTTTGACCCACCCCTCGTCACTTTTTTTTTGGATGTGCCAGTTGTCTCTGAATACATTTTCCCTCCATGAAAAGGAAGAATGGATTTTTTCTTAACTTTCTATAAAATCCTTTAACCTGGGTTCATGCTGAGGTGGTGTGGCACATTGCATGTGATTCGCACAGCAATCCACAGCGCACCGTGTTTTGCAAACCGATTTCGGGTTGTTGGTAACTTAAAAAATACACACCTGCAGCGGTTTGTATGAACGGGTGTATGAAATCGATGCGAATTCTGCACCGCATCAGTGTGAACCCGGGCTTACTTGCAAGCTCATTGAGGGACGTAGGCCCCTTGATCCCTGTGTGTTTGTGGTCTTACTGTTGCCACTACTTTGTTTTAAAAACTATACCTTGTGTCTAAATGTTTCAGTAGGCAGTAGTACAGCCCAATTGTCTCTGAATCCTGTGTCCCTCAATGAGCTTCCAAAGAAAGAGTTTTCTGGAAAATACAAAAATCTAATTTTTTTTTTTTTTTTCTTTCAATTGCTTAATATATTTGCATCTAGTTGCATTAGCTATTTTCAGAAGTGCTATGTTGCTTTGCTGTGACTTAGTTTCATCTCGTAGGACATACAGCACAATATATCTTTTAAATCTGAGTTCTGGGCAGCATTAAAATGGCCAGTTAAACATCTGACTCTTTAATTATATTTTGCATATAAAAAATAGGGCACACGTAGTATGTTTTTGTGTCATTCTGTAATGCACAGTAGCTGGTTTTCAATGTCAAATATGGCACTGGGGTTTATTTACTAAGGGCAAATAGACTTTGCAAGTGCTGTTTCTTCAGAGCTCATTAACCTGTTAAAAATGCTGTTTTTTGGGTAGTTTTTTCACTTGCAAGTGATTGGGTGTTCTTTGTAAAATGAAGCGTTGCCTCATTCACTAAGCTCTGCAGCAAAGTGCACAGTCTGTTTGCCATTAGTAAATCAACCCCACTGTCTTTTTGTTGACTTTGTCTCAAGGTCCTAGATTACCGGTGGCTGTTGTAGTGGCATTTTTTAGAAGGATGTTTGTGATTGGGGGAGCTAGCCTTAAGGAATTGACCATCTGATGCAATGTTTCTAGCCTTCTCTGTTATTGCAGAGCAAAAAAATGACTTTAAAAATGCCTACTTTCACTACAATTAGCTACTGCGGGTGAGCTTCAACAAGAGGCTGTATATATGCGTTCCTATGTAAACTTTTCCTGTGCCGAGAACGTGCTCCCAGCACAGTAACCAACGGGTACCAGAAAGCTCCTGATGCATACGTACGATCTGGAGTTTTCTGATCATGTGTCCACTGTGACTGCCGATCATATGATCGAAATGACCACCTCTGCCTCCCGGGATTTAGTACCTCTTAGACTGGCCATACATTACACAATTTTCTTGAGAATTTTGCTTTAGATTTACCAAAAACCATATAATGAGGTCAAACCTTAACATTTTCAATTGTATCCAATTGGGAAAACCCTTGTACTACATAGTTGAAGGTAAATCTAAAGGAAATTGAACAGAAAATTGTATAATGTATGGCCAGCCTTAAAGGGCCAGGAGGCTGCAGCATGACGGAGTTAAACATTGTTGATTCTTTTGTTGTGTGGCCATAAAACTTTCAGCTGTATTCTGCTACGATTCTTGGAGTGAGATGTTGATATGGAGGAGCCAGCGGTTGGAACATATTGTGGAATTCCAGCATGCAAAGACAACTGTCAGTTTTGTTTTGTTTTTGGGGAGGGGGGGGGGGGGGGTAGTTGGCATACTTGCTTCATAAGTGAGACAGTTGTATTAAAGGAAAGCTGTCCAAAAAGAAGCAATTGCAGTTCCAAAATAGCTATTTGAACTTTCCTGAAAATATGAGTAGTACTTGTGACCCACCAATTATAAGTATAGGTTTGCTGACATCCAACACATCCTCTATTTATGTGTCAATAAAAATAAATATAAATTAATGTCGTGCTCCTAATTCCGCAAATAAATGAAATAGTGTACCCATACAATTGAAAAATATAATCAAATAAAGAAAAAATTTTTTAATCAAAGAAATTTTTTAAAGAAATTTTTTTCTTTTTTTCTTTTATTTGATTATATTTTTCAATTGTATGGGTACACTATTTAATTATTTCATTTATTTGCTGGATTAGGAAAGCGACATTATTTATATTTATATTTGAAGTTTCCTGTCTTCAATACATAGGGAGTCCCCAGTCTGCTTTATATTGTGAAATTTATCCATGCTGATTTTTTGATTATTAGATTACAAAAAAAAAAATGATGTATGGTCCATGTCAGGTGAGATATTCCCGTACCCCAGATTAGATTTCAAAGTTGGTGTTTTTAAGTGCAATAATATCCTTGGTTAATCCATGGCACAATTGCACAATGTCATCAAATGCATCTCCTGTGCCGCAACTGCATTTCCCCCCCCCCCCCCTTTTTTGTTAATGGTTTTCTGTGTATGTATGTGTTGTAGTAAAAAAAATAGATCATGTTTTAATTTTAAATACTGAGCTATACAGGTATTATCGACCCTGATATTTAGACTGCCTTTACTTTGGCAAAGTGAGTAATGTTGTAACAAGAAAACGGGTTCCATTAGAAGCATGTGACCTACAGAGCACCCTACAGTCTGCCCCCTCATGTCTTATGCCTGTATACTGGCATTGATTTGTTCAGAATATGCATAGGTGCTTTAAACGGTCTCCTGAGGTGTTCTTTGAGGATGGTAAGCAAAGGTACAGCATGCAGTACTTTTTTTAGTGTGGTGAAAAAGTTAGTGCGATGAGGTTACAGTCGGTTTTCTTTAGATAATCTACTTAAAGTGTTACTAAACCCACAACAGTAAAATCGGTCTGTATATGCAGTAAAGCATGCTTGTTATACTCACTGTGGGAACCTAAGGGGTTAATCCTCTGCTTTTGTGTAAAAAGGCTTGTCAAACACTTTAAAGTGCTGAAACTTCTTGAATGGTGGTCGTTAGTTGCTCTGCATTTTAAAGCGGAACTTGGCTCTCTCAATCAACATTGACTATTTTTAATCCTCTTGCTACTAACATTAGTACATCAATAGGAAAGTGTGTCAGTTGTTTTACATTTTTTTTCTTTATTTCCTAAATTTCCTGGTTTTCGTACCTAGACAAATGATGTCATACACACCAGAAGCCTTCAGAAGGGGAGGATGTGTTTTCTCAGCTAAGAACACCCTCCTGCCTGCATTTCTGAGCTAAGGGCAAATGGATCCTAGGAAGTAATTCTACATGAATCATTTTGCCCTTACTCAAGATGGCCACAGCTGGAAATGCAAGGTGGGTGTTTTTTTCAAAGTGATTTCTCAACAAAATAAAGCATGGAGACATGAATGAATGGGGGGATTTGCTTTGAACATTAAAATCAACTAAATAGTGTTTTTGGTGTTTAGATGCAGTGTAGTTCTGCTTTAAATACTGATAGCAAGGTATTATTCCTGTTCATTATAAGTTTTTTTTTTTTTTTTTTTTTTTTTTTTTTTTTTTTTTTTTTATTTTTTTATCAACAAAATAAAGAAGCTATAACAAAATTTCTTATTTACAGGAGGACTGACAAATGGCAGCGGCCGATACATTTCTGCTGCACCAGGGGCAGAGGCTAAGTACCGCAGTGCAAGTAGTGCATCAAGCTTATTCAGCCCAAGCAGCACGCTTTTTCCATCTTCCCGACTCCGCTATGGTATGTCTGATGTGATGCCCTCAGGTCGGAGTAGATTGCTTGAAGACTTTCGGAATAATCGTTATCCTAACCTTCAGTTGAGAGAAATTGCTGGCCATATTATCGAGTTTTCTCAGGACCAGCATGGGTCTAGGTATTGTACCTTCATTTACTCTGCATTTAACCTAAGCATTCTCTTCATTTTTTCTTCGGTTGTGGACTTAATGCATTAAAATCACATGTTGCAAGGCTGGGGCTCTAGAAATGTATTTTTGGGACCCTGTTCAGTCACAGAATTTGGTTTAGATTTTAGATGAGTGAGGCATGCCTACAAGTGAGGTATTACTTTTCAGTCAGCATATTGCAGTCTTCTGCGGTAATGATTCCTGGCCGTATTGTGTACTTCTTAGGCCTCATGTATACTGGACATTTTGCTATCTCTCCTTAGATGCCTCTCCTCCTGGCACAGCGCTTTGCCAGAAACACTTGACAATTGTAAACACTTGTAACGCATTTAAGCGCTTTTAGCTATGTTTAGGTGTGTCAATCTCTTGGGCATTAAGAGACATTTTCATTGGCCATAATAATAATTTATTCTGTCTGTTGAAATGAATTAGTGCTCAGTCATTAAACGCGCTCAGTCGATAAACGCGCCTAGTGTTAATGCAAGTTTAGATGCTTTTACACACGTCAATCGTTTTTTCTCTGCCAGAACACCACTGCTCCTGGACGAGCTGGCTGTGAGCTCTTTTCTGGCTCTAAGCTTCTCTAAATGCCTTTGTGTGCATGGACACATAGGCTAACATGCAGTGGTGTTAAAAGGCAGGAAAAAAAACCTCAAGATGCCCCTAACAGCTACGTTAAAAACATCTAATATGTATGAGGTCTTAAAATGGATTTTGGTGCTTAACAGGTACCTTGTGATGGGTGTCCAGCCTTTTGCCGTTCCTGGGCCACATTGGAAGAAGAGTAATGGTCTTTGGCCACACATAAAATGCACTAACAATAAAGATAGCTGATGAGCAGAAAAAGTCAGGCACATCACAAGTTATAGATCGCTGATATAGATAATGTACCTACAGTGTCTGAGTAATAAAACATCATTTTTTTTTTTTTTTTTATAAAAGTAAGAGGGTAATAAAAACTAATGCAATATTTGACACTGTTTTTTGATAAACTAACGCAACAATATCTAGTTTGATGGATGTAGTAGCAATTCAGAATGAATTCTCAAAGTTCTCATCCGATATTTTGGGTCAAATTTTGCCCTTCATGTGCTTCATTATTATTATTATACAGGATTTATATAGCGCCGACAGTTTGCTCACTGCTTTACATTCATCTTTGAAAATAGTTGTTCACAAATATAGGTGCTGCCGCAAACTGATGACATGAATAAGGCATGATTGTGAAGAGTGGGATATTTTTCTTTGGGAAGATTAAACTTATAAAAGTCCAGTAAAGAGACAACATCAAATTTTTCATGTGTTCACGAAGTGTAAACGCATTTTTTTTTTTAAAATTCCCCTGTGACAGGTTACCATTCACAAGGTGCAGTGCTACTCACATGCACAGTGGGCACCCAGCTGCAAAGCCACAAGCTGTCACAGCTGGGTGTCCACACTTAAGAGGCTGGTACCAGGGAGAGAAGATGGCCGGTGAACCTGGCTGGTGTGAACACACCGCTGGAACATAGGACCGGTAAGTGGCTGCTTTTAAAAAGTCAGCAACTACAGTTTTTGTAGCTGCTGAGCTTTATCTTTTTCAGATTTACTGGAGCTCCGATTTTAAGTTTGAATTTGTGTTGGGTTGTATTCATAGCTTTCTTGGGCTGCAGGTTGGACACCCCTGCCCCAAAGTGTGCACATTTGTTGCCTGTACCCTTACCCCAGGTTCGCATATATGTGGCCATGCGGGCCACGTTTTGCACGGGCACGAGAGCCTTTTTCATTTGAACGGACTCCTGTGCCCGTAACACGCAGGGGAGAAGTCCCTGCACTACTTTGGAAAACGCAGCCTGCACGGGAACCTTGGTTCCCAGTACGGTTGCGTTTTCCAGTGCGGGCTGCATGCCATTAGAACTAATGGCACCCACCCACGGGTCCGCATTTCTCTGTGCGGGTGGTGCGGCTGCACGGAATTTTGTGTGGATCCGCAGCAGCACCACCCACACAGATGTGAACCTAGGGTGAGATATGTGCCTGTATCTGAAAGTCTCAAAAATCTTTGCTAGATGATATTGCCTCCTGAGGAGTCACAGGCAGCTGCCATAACTCCCTGCCTAGAGAGACCAGTTTGGCTCTTATTGATGCAGTGTGTATTATCTTTGCAATTAAATATTACTTTTACTGTTACTTCTACTAGCACAGTCACTAGTCTGGATCCATTAAATAGGCCCTAGGACTTCAAAAACTTTGATACACACATTTCTCCCTGATGTCCTGTACATCATGAGGCTGGTGGTGGCCTCCTTGAAGGCGATCTTGATTGCCCAGTTCCACTCCAGAACCCTACAACTCCCCATCCTGTCATTATGGGATAGACCAAACTGATTCACCTGAGACTTGAGTGTACTCTGTTAGCTGTGGAGTGCTTTCTGCTGAGACCCTGTCTCTGAAAACTCACATTTTGAGTATGGCCAGTCGGGCTGATGTGTCAGAAGCTACCTCACTATTTGAACCACGGAGCCCCATTTCAAATTTCCCACCAATGCCAATTTTATGGGTTAAAGCTGTGGGATCATCCGCCTTTATTATCTGCTAGGTGAAGTGTTGTGTGCATGTGTCCTATGCTCTTAACTGCCATTTTGCTTAGAGGAAGCACCGTCCAACTGCTATTCTTGCTCTTGAAACACCATACGGATCTCCAATCTCTGGTCTCAAAGCACTGCCTTCCTACAGTGATTTGACCACCTCCACCTGCCTGAAATGCTCATCTGCATCAGCTGCCCAGGTTTGGGAGTAATCAAGTCCATGTCTCATATTGGGCCTAGCAGCTTACAGCTTCACTATGTAACCTGTCTTCCCAAAGACAAACAGGACATTACCACTGCCACAGGTGACCTCATCCCATACTCCCTTAGTAGTTCTGGAGGCATTTAGCAGGTATCCTCAAAATGATGCAACATCTTTAATCCCTTAACTGGGACTCCTGTTAAAAGGCCATCCTCATTCTGTTTCTTGCAGCCTTGTTGAGCAGGCGGTGAGACCTCCCCCTATTGCACCCCTATTGTTAATTTTTTAGATGACACCCCATAAGGAGTGTCAGTTTTCTGGACCCTTGCACTGAGCAGTCCTTGGAACAGTCCAGTACCTGTAAGCATTGGCCATTTGTAGCTTCACAGGTGTCTAGGGTGGGTGTCTGTCAAGAGGCTGTTCATCTCAATTTCTTGCTAAGGAAGTCTGTTCTGTGGATCAGGTTATCCCTCACCTCCTGTCAGGGATAATTCCTATCTTTTTCCCTTAGGGGCTGTTTGGAGTCAACAAGCTCCACCTTGGTATCTGGTAGCCTGGACTTGAAGCAAGACCAGGAAAAAGTCACTGGTGTTACTCCCCATTCTCCAAGGTGTATGGGGTAGACTCTCCCCACACAGAGAGGATGCTCACTTCCCCAGAGCTTCAGTTATTTATTTTTTTTATTTTTTGGGCCTTGTTTTTTCAAGGTATTCCATCAACCTGGACTCTGTAAGACAATACTTTTTGAAAGTTCTTCAACTCCGGGAAGGTTTGGGAGTTTAGATCTTGTTTTACCCTCAACTGGGAAAATAAAAAGGGCATGTGCGGTAACCCCCAGAGACTCGCAGCAGATTAAACGACTTGCAATTTTGATGATCAACCTTGTGGGAAGTTGGATTACAAGCTATAACATAGATGAGATAACTGAAATGCCCCTGTGTCTCAGATCTTGGGTTTCAGCAGTCAGGCTGCCAAAACCAGTAAACAAGAAGCAGGGGTGTGGAAATTTTTGAAAAATCTACTTGTCCATGGACTAAATTGGTGTCCCTTCCCACGTCGCCATTTGTGGCCGCGACTGTTACTGGGTCCTGGTCCTGGCCACAGTAAAAATAACTTCTGACCTCCATGTGTTGGCGGATTTATCTGCAGAACTGGATCCTTTGCATTGCCACTGACATTTAGAATCTCCCAAACTTGAGAAAAAGGGGTTTGCGAACTGGTACGTAACCTAGAGGACAAAAGCTTTTTGATGCAAGATAGGAAGGTGTCATTGTCCTTAGCCTGGGAGTGATTACTCTTGCCGTCCATCAATTTCTGTGTTTTCCTAATCTTTGTAGTTCATGTCATTTGAACAGGGGATAATAAGGACAACACCTTTACGTTTCTATGTACCTAGTGTCTATTTTTCATTTACATGCCAGTGCAACCCTAGGTTGTTTACTATCCAGCTGTGTCGCTTAAAGAATTGCAGACAAATACTGGTAAAAAGACTGAAAAATGCATCAGACAATAGTTTTTTTCTTTCTCTTCTGTCAGTGAACATTGCTGTAAACGAGTTCATTCGATAGATTTTGGCAAGTACATTGATTATGGAGAATGCCTTAGGGGGCTGTTACACTCTCTAAGCACTAGACAGTTATGCGAAGGGAAATATGTATACTTCTTGACAGTTGAAATTCGACAGGGGTCCTATTGGTCACTGTGACATAATGTGGGGGTGGAACGTCCTATAGGACAAAGGATTTAACTTTTCCCCTCTATCAAGAGGTTGGGAGGGGTGTTTAATTTGTTTTTTTGTTCTACTAACTTTTTTTTTGTATGTTTAAATCCATCTTTATTATCTATATTTGTATTTTTGTTTATCAGGTTTATCCAGCTGAAGCTGGAACGTGCAACTCCAGCAGAGAGACAGTTGGTATTTAATGAGATCCTACAAGCTGCTTATCAGTTGATGGTGGATGTATTTGGAAATTACGTCATACAGAAGTTTTTTGAGGTAGTTTTTTCTTTTTTCTTTTTTTTTTTTTTATTGGCATTTATTTAATCAGATTTCACTTACCAACAAAATATGCAGTTTTAAATCTTAAATTCCCAAGATATTTCTGTCATTAAAGCAGATGAACCTTTCATGCCAATGGAAATTCCGCTTTACTGCCAGCCCCACACAACCGAAGCAGAATTACCTTAAAAAAAAAAAAAAAAGAACTTATGATTTTAATTTCAAACTTTTAACTTAACATTAAAGAAGAAATAATTACCTGGGTCCCAGCTTCCAGCATTTCCAGGATGCGTGGGTGATGGCAACGCATCTCAACATTGTTTCCTTGACACTCAAAATGTTGCAAGCACATGCTTGTGGGATGTCAAAATGCTCAGTTATCCAGGGAGGCAGCATTGAAGCACTGTGATGTCAGATATGTTTGGAAGTGAAGGTTGAGGGAAAAGCCAGGAAGGTCCGGTCTAATGGTTGTTTTCAGGGTGCACAGACACCCTTAAAGTGGTTGTAAACCTTGGACATGAAATATGAACGAAGCATATCCCTCTATATTGTGCACTTGTCTCAATTAAGAGCACGAAGTATAATTTCTTTGTGCTGCTTCATTCCTCTGCTATTAGCATAAACCACTTCTGACAAGTTATCTTGACACCAAGAGAAAAAAGGTGACAGGGGTGGGACCTCCAGAAGACTGACAGCCTCAGCTCTGTTCCTGTGTGCTGTGTGAAGGGGAGGAGGGAGTGTCTCTTCCCTCCAATCAGCTCTCGGAGTTCTCCTCAATGAGCTCTGCTGAGTGTAGCTTCAGCACTCTGATTGGATGTAGAGAGGAAAAGACTGCAGATAGACCAGTACAACCTATGTAGGAGGATTTATTTCATCTATGTGTATCACCTGAGACTAGTCTCTTCACTGGGTATATGTAAGTGTTTGCAACCACTTTAAATCCAGTTGTGGGTCTAGATTTTGAGAACTGAACTTCCTATTAAGTGAATCCATTAGTTCAGACCAAGTACATTATTTAAATATTGCTGGCTGTCAGACTATGGACATACTAGAGGAAATGATGGCCAGAAACTGTGGACATGCTATAGGTTTGGTTGGAAACTGGAGACAAGTTGCAGAAAACAGTGAACAAGTGAGGATATGTTATATCAGGCTTGTAGAGATCACTGCTTTTATACAAATGAGTGCTTCAGCTACAGATTGCTGGGGTTCAAGGGCTGTTCAGCAAATACCAAGGGGCGGCATGTGGCTTCTGGGCTATACTTTGGGCACCAGGGGTCTCGGTGTTGATTAACAAAAGTAAACCTGGCATTTCATCTGCTTCCTTTGTAGTTTGGAAGTCTAGAACAGAAGTTGGCACTTGCAGAAAGAATTCGTGGCCATGTTCTTTCCCTGGCTTTGCAGATGTATGGATGTCGGGTAATTCAGAAAGCACTCGAGTTCATCCCACCCGACCAGCAGGTCATCGTAAGTCAACCTTACGTAGCTGTTTTTGCTTTTACTGGGAATGGTATTTCCTAAGTTGCAGTCTGTAGTATTGGTGGAAATTATTTTATTATGTTCTGTTCCTGCAATCTCATGTAAACACCAGTGCTCGTGATTGCATCTGGAAAATACATCCATGTGCTTGCAGTCAAGGCCACCTGAGCTTACATAAAAGTACAGGAGCACAGTGTATTTGTAAAAACTTAATATGGCCAAAAATACACTACAGCTGGGGCACTGGATACAGGCAAATTTTTTATGGTGTATGACCATATGGCTATATTTACATTCATGTGAATGAATCCTTATCTAGACTATTTGAGGGCCATACACAACCTTGTTAAAAAAAAAAGTAGACCGTGTGAACATCTTAGTCTTTTTTTTTTTTTTTTTTTTTTAAATTGTTTATGCATGCTTACATTTTACATTAAACTGCAACTAAAGACTACTGTTTGATAGTCTAAATGTGTACCAGATTCAGTTATACTGTGATATACAAGCCCCACAAAGTAAACATAAAACTTCCTTTACTGACTGAGCCAAAGCCTTCTTTAACCCCGTCACGCCGATGTAACACAAATATGCGGCCTCACAGAACTGGGCTTTTTTCTGTGGGGCTGCATATTTGCGTACCTATTTTTGTGCTGGGAGCTTGGCGCACAGCACGCTCCCAGCAAAAAGACAGTCACTGAGAGACCCCGGGTCCCGTTCTAATGATCGAGACCCAGGACCCCTGATTCTGGGTCACATGATTGCTGTGATAGCATCTGATTGGTTATCACAGTGATTAATCTCTGTACAGACACCCCCCCCCCCCCCCCATTTTTTTTTTTCTTTTTCTCTCTCTAAATGGAGGCGAGAGAGATACATTGAATCTCTCTCTCCTTGCATAGAGAAAAAAAAGTAAACTGTTAAAATAAAAGATAAATATTTTAAAAATAAAGAAAAAATACCTAGATCAAGTTTTGATCTAGTCAAATGCCAGGGTTAGTGTTTGAGTCAAGGTCAAAGGTCAAGATTTTTAGTTATTATTTTTTTTAGATTAGTGTCAGTGGGTTTTAGGTAAAAAAAAAAAAAAAAAAAAATGTGCACTATTGTTTCTGGGCTGTACTGTGGGTACAAACAACATATAACCTACACATATATGGTATCGCTGCGATCGTCAAGAGCTGGAAAATATATTTTGGGTTCTTTGGCGGTAGGTTATGGTAGTAACAAACACACAGCTAAATTTAAAAAAAAAAAAAAATATATATATATATATATATATATATATATTTATTTTTTTTTACTATTTTGGGCCAGTTTTCCTTTGATAATAAAAAAAATCAGGAGATATCCATTACCATTTACCAACAAATGAAAGACCAATTTGTCCTGAAAAAAAACAAGGTATAATTCACCTGGATGTACAAAGTACTGCAGCTCAAAATAGGGTTTCAGCATGAGAGGCATTGCTGTTGATCCAGAAAGCAGTGGGGAGGATTTGGTGTTTCCAAGTGCATCAGCATAGTGAATCAGCAGTGGAAATGTTGATAGCTTTGCCCCCTGGAACATTTTTTTTTTTTTTTTTTTTTCCTTTCCACTTTAACCACTTCCTGCCCAGGTCAATTCTGACATTCCTCTTCTACATATAAAAATCAGCATTTTTTTGCTGGAACCCCCAAACACTATATATATTTTTGCAGAGGCCGTAGAGAATAAATTGTTGGGTGTTGCAATTTTTTATGCTACATGGTATTTGCGCAGCAGTTTTTCACACTCAAGTCTTTTTGTAAAAATCCACTTTTAATGAACTTTATTGCACACAAACACTACATAATACTTAATTTTTTGTTGATTTATGCCAAGTAAATTGATGTCCAACATGTCACTTTCAAAACTGCGTTCGCCCCTGAATTGGCACCAAACTACGGTACCTAAAAAACTCCTTAGGCAACGCTTTAAAAGTCTTTACTGGTTACCAGTTTAGAATTAAACGGGAGATCTGGAGCTAAAATTATTGCTCTCACTCTGACATTTTCGCGAAGATACCTCACAAGTGTGGTGCGATCATAGTTTACATATACGTGCAGGACTTGCGTATTCTTTTCGCAGGGAGCTTTAAATTGAATCTTTTATTTGACACTTTTTTTTTTTTCTGTCACTTGAATTTATTTTTTTGCAATCAACTTTACTACTTTCACGATGGATGAACATCTCTTGTGAAAGCATGGGCCATAACAGGTCCTCTTTATTGGAAAATCTATTTGACCCCAGATCTCTCCTCTGGGCTCCAATGCAGCTAATCAGACACAGATCGGTCTCATTGGCTGCTTTCCTGCTTGCTAATGGCCAGATAAAACAGAGCCTAAATTAGTTTCCGGTGGCACAGAGAGGGAGGAATAACATCAGTTCCCCTCTCTGTGTGTAATGTCGCTGCTGCCAATTACAGCGGTCTCAGGCTCCATGGTCGGACAGGTGAGTCGGGGATGGGGGGCCCACTTGTGCTGGCCACAGAAGTGATCGTTTAAAGTGGCTGTTTAAATTTTAATACTTGGCTGATGCCTGTAGCAGCTACAGGCATCATCTCAGTATAACCACCCCAACCCAGGATATCCTTGGACATTCTATGGTTGGGAGTGGTTAATGCAAGCAGTCGCAGCCTACATGCGAACAGCAACTTTCCACTTAGTGCATCATTGTTGCCACTGCAAGAATCTGCATGGACTTCACTTGTAGGTTCAATAAGTATTAGTGGGTCTTTACAGGGGCACAATAAATAGTTGTAAATGCGTATGCACTTTATTTTAAGTAGAACAGTGGCCTCCAATTAAAACTATGTATCACCTTTTACTTCTGCTGCATGCAGATGCAATTAAAGTGAACCACTCACTAAATGGTAGAAGTCTGTTATTTATTAACAGGCAATATAATGATCCTACATATTTTTTGCTTTTGAAAGACTCTTATGCTCACTTTAGGATCTCTGCAGCCTGTTTTATACAAGTTAGAACTGCTTGCAAAGATTGAGAGCTGTATGCGCACTTTCAGATATTCTCAACTGTTTTTCAGTCTTATAGCTCTGGTGTTCCTTTCTTCCCTGAAAACCCACAATGCAACACAAGATGCAGAAGGCCTCTTTTATTTTTATTTTTTTTTTTGAGATTCTATGTGGGAAGGACCAGTATTCAAAGTTAGATAAACTGTGCTGACAATATGTGCCAGTGTACCATGGGTTTCTCTAGCAGACAGAAGGCTTTGTGGCTATCTGTGAGATGGACATTGCTGTGCATGGCTGCAGTTAGGTTGTAACTGAAGAAAAAGTTTATTTTTAAGTTACGTTTTCCCAGTGTAAACAGTTTTTACTAATGTGTGACGGCTTTTCTTTTCTCTTTTAGAATGATATGGTCCGAGAATTGGATGGACATGTTTTGAAATGTGTTAAGGACCAAAATGGAAATCATGTTGTACAGAAGTGTATAGAATGTGTCCAGCCACAGTCTCTGCAGTTTATCATTGATGCCTTCAAGAGTCAGGTCAGTTCCACTTGGAGAGACTGTACTGTAAACAAAGAATTTTTCAGTGGTTATTAAAAATGTATGTATTTCCCTAACGCAGATATATATTAAATGAATATTGTTTTTTGCAGGTGTTTGCGCTCTCTACACATCCGTATGGTTGTAGGGTGATTGCCAGGTGTTTGCGCTCTCTACATTTACCCCCCCCCCCCCCCCCCCCCCCCCCCCCCCCCCCCCCCCCCCCCCCCCCCCCCCCCCCCCCCCCCCTTTTTTTATGGTTGTAGGGTGATTCAGAGGATTCTTGAGCACTGCCTTCCTGAGCAAACACTGCCTATACTTGAAGAGTTGCACCAGCACACGGAACAGTTAGTGCAGGTAAACCCATCATTTCTTTGCTTTTCAATATGTTTGTTATTTAGCTTTTTAATGTATCTTACAGAATCAAGTAAAGTTCTATTCAACGCATAAACCTGAAGCAGTCGTAACTCTATATGTTTGATGTTCAACTGTTTCCAAACTTGTTTAGTATGCCAAATGTTAATTCAAGAAAACCTGCAGAAAAACTTTGGTGTACAATCCTAAAGGCTCCTGTGAATAGTCTGGCATTATTTTCCTCTTCAAAATATATTCACAAAATATTGAGAGAGTAATTAACCTTTTAAGAATGTGTCTTGCCAAATAGATCTTAACTGGTCAGACTGTATTGATAAAAAAAATGTATTTACAAAAATGTCATCATTCTGTCACAATTATAATATATTATACCTTTTTATCTCTTAGACCAAGATGCTGTAAAGATGTGTTGCTTTATAGTAGAATCAGTCTTTGAAATGTAATATGCTCATATTTTACAAATCATTTAGTCACTGGGAGTGTCCCAGAGATGTATTCAGAGTTTTTGCTGTTAGTTCTAGTCATTTAGTCATTCAGCCTGAGTATAATATTAGGTTTCATAGCCTCAAAAGATGACTGGCTATGTAGTTGAGTGATCTACTATAAAGATTTTTTTGTCTTCCATTTAACTAAATAATTCTAATTCTTACAGATTTGCATTTAGTTTTTCTCCACAAGAATGGTACTTATTCCTGAAGCCCAAATGAACGATCAGTTTAAATCTTCTGAACATTCCAGGTGCATCAAAACTAGAGCTGTACAAAGTTATAGTTTTGTTTTCTCTAAGGCTTGGTTCACACCAGTGCGACTTGTCATGGGATTTGACAGTTTCAAATCGCATGACAAGACAGTTTGTCAGCAATGGAACCATTCAAATCGGTTCGACTCCAACGGAGTTGTACCAATTTTGAAAGTAGTTCCTGCACTATTGTTTGCGATTTGACGTGAGACTTGCATAGACATCTGTGCATAAGTCACACAGATGTCTGCCAAGTTGCACTTGAAGCTGCACTGACATGTGACTTTAAGTGAAGTTGCACCCAGTGTGAGCCAGGGCTAATAGTCATCCACAGCCAGAGTAGTAAAGCCTGTCCCCTACCTGCAGCTGCAAAGAGAACACCCGTGCTCTGTGTAGAAGCCGTGATCTGTCAGGCATGCCTCCTGCTGAGTTAGACTTCTCCAGCCAGCAGGGAACCGTGAGCAGTTATAGGTCTGACTCAATAGGGAGTGCACTGGACTGCTGCAATAAGACCACTGCCTATACACAGAGCGAGGGTCCCACTTTGCAGCTGCTAGCAGGGAACATGCTTTTCTGGTCAGGATGTGGCTGCTTTAGGAAGAGAAAAAAAAGTGTAAGAAATAATGCTTTTTGTTTTGATACACCTGCAATTTATTTAGCTGGTTTAGGGTTCAAGTGGGCTTTAACTACCTCCAGTCCTGGCCATTTTTGGCACCTTTTGTTCACACCTAAAATTATTTTTTTTTGCTAGAAAATTACTTAGTGCTCCCAGACATTATATATTTTTTTTTTAAAGGAGAGGCCCTAGTGAATACATTGGTGGGCTTTGGACATTTTTATGTTACACGGTATTTGTGCAGCGGTCTTTCAAACACAATTTTGTGGGAACAAATACACTTTTTGAATTTTATTGCAAAAAAAAAACACAATACATAACCCATTTTTTTGTATACTATAAAAGATGATGTTACACCAAATAAATAGATGCCGAGCATGTCACGCTTTAAAATTGCGCATGCTGTGCAATTACGACAAATAACATAAATTTTACTATCCATAGGCGACGCTTTAAAAGCCTTTTACAGGTTACCACTTTAGTGGTAAGTCAAAGATAAGGTCAGCAAAGTTTAAGTCGGAGAATGCAAAAGCAGCTTGATGCAGGTTATTTCAGCTTGGCTTAGATCAAAAGGAGGTCAACTGCTAGTCGACTGGACCTGTCAGTGTATTTTGCAACTAGGAAGAATCGCAAAGGGATCTCAAATGAGGCCGAATGCACCTGGAAACACAGTGCATTTGCCCATTATCTTGAGATGTTACTGGCACTTAGCTACTCTAACTCGATAAAACTCATATTTCAGCAGAATTTAATATTTTGGCATTTTTTTATCATCTCTATTGTTTTATCTGTACATGTGGGTGGATTTCCAGTTGAAATTGCTTGTAAATAATGTGGAGACCTGTAAGGATAAACTATTCTTACCAGTATAAAAAAGGGCAAGACTGGAGTTGAATTATGATATTCTAGATTGAACCTGTAGGTCGCGGCCAGGTGACTACTCGATTGCAATCTGGGCTTGCTGACTCACCATCCCAGAGCATTTAAAAAGAGTGTAATGCATAAAGACTACTTGTAAAGGTGGAGCTGTATTAGGGAGCATGAGCCGCATAAGCCGATATCTCCTCTGTAGTGCTGGCTCCTGTCCCATGCTGAGTGATACCAACTGCACTCCACCTCTTATCCCAAATAGCGATCTCCAGAGTGGTACCAGCAGCAGAAAAGAAGAGATGTTCAGGTCAGTGTGAAGCAATACACTGGGCATAATTGTATAAGGATGCTTTCACACTGATGTGCTGTGGTTTACCCACACTGCGGGTGCAGTGCAGCTGCAAGTTTGCTGCTCTTAGCCATATATTTCTAGTGTATGCTGCAGGTTTGGTGCACTTTCTGAAAGTGCACCAAAACTCCTGAATGCAGGAGTTTTGATGCGCTTTTAGAAAGTGCACCTCACCTGCAGGATAAAATAGAAGTCTATGGCAATGTGCAACTAACCCAGGAAAGTCGCAGATGTACTGCGTTACACCCAAGGGGTTAAAGCAGGCAGTGTTGTGCTGCTTTCTCACCTTCTGCTTTAACCCCCTGGACCTCGCAGAAGCATGTAATTGTGGGGGGGGCTTGCAGAGTAGCCCCATTTACTTGAATGGTTCATTGTTGGCAGACCGTAGCACCCACCAAAAGCAACAGGGGGTTTGATTCCTGCCTCGGCAAATGTACACGAAGAGGGTATGAATTGGGGGTGGTAAAACCGTGACTCCACCACAAGGTTTTACTACCCCAAACTTTACTTGTGAACCAGCTATAAGGGTGCCGCTGCCAAATGTAACTAAGGGCTCGTTCACAAGTGCAGCAGGCACTGCCGCTTCTCAAAAAAGCGATTTGAATGTCTTTGACAGGTGGTGAGGAGGCGATATGTTGCCTCCTCATCACCTGATTTAAACCCATGATGGTCATGCAATGCACGTGATTGCGACACGGTGCTATGGCAGTTAGAGGTTTAAATCCGGTGTGAGGAGGCGTCACTGTACCCGTTGATCTTGGACTTCTCCCATGCTGTTCAGGTAGATTTCCACCTCTTTAAGGTTGCCTACCCCTGTTCTAGATTGGAATTATGGCTATTGGTTTAAGAGTATTTGAGGAGTTTGTAGGAACTTTACTGTATAATCTCGATTTGTATTCTGTTATGGTTTGGTTATATGACTCTGTTGGTACATACAGTTTTGTTCTTTTTCTGTTTTTTTTTTTATAGTGCTGTTAATATAAAACTGTCCCATTTCACTTGCAGGATCAGTATGGGAACTATGTCATACAGCATGTTTTAGAACATGGTAGACCCGAAGACAAGAGTAAGATTGTTGCAGAGATTCGGGGCAATGTCCTAGTTCTCAGTCAGCACAAATTTGCAAGGTATGTTTGCCTTTGAACTATGCCTGGTAAAACAATTACTAAAATTGGAATACCGCAAATCACAACAGTGTGAGACCAAAAATAGATGTTACTTTACCACGGTTGTCTTCATCATTAATACACATTTGTCTAGTTACAACAACCTGTATTTTAAATGCAATGATAGTCTTGAAGGGGTTGATAAATGAATAGTAACAAAAGGGTTGAAACTGTAGCTCAAGGTTCCCTGCTGGTTTTGTGTCCAAAAGCCTAGGCGTTTTGGTCATTCTGAAGGCATTGATCAGAATATACAGTATGTCTTTATATGTAATAACAATATGCTCCAAAGGTTTATATCAGTTTCCCCTTTTTTTTTTTTTTCTTCATTTGACAGTAATGTAGTTGAGAAGTGTGTGACGCATGCTTCTCGCACAGAACGAGCAATGTTAATCGATGAAGTTTGCACGATGAATGATGGGCCTCACAGTGCCTTATATACAATGATGAAGGATCAGTATGCTAACTATGTTGTGCAGAAAATGATTGATGTAGCAGAGCCAGCTCAGCGTAAGATTGTCATGCACAAGGTGAGTAAAATGCCACCTATTCAAGTATGTAGCTAATGGCCAGAATTGGAATACATCTAGGACATGAAAAATAACACTTGTTCTTCTTTTTTAGATTCGACCACACATTGCCACTCTTCGTAAATATACATACGGCAAACACATTCTTGCTAAACTGGAGAAGTACTACATGAAGAATGGTATGGATCTGGGTCCAATGTGTGGTCCCTCAAATGGCATCATCTAGAGATCTTCCTGGACCCACTGTATCTCCCTATTTCTGCCCACCACGTGGGAGATTCAGGGTGTAGCTCTTTCAAACCAACCTTTGTAAATGTCTTTAATTTTATTACACCCGACATATTATTTTTAATAATCAACTTAACCTTCCCCCAATGTATTTCTGTATAGAATCACTTGTACATATCTTGTACATGTCCTACCCCCTTGCTGAATGCACATCATTTGTGCAACAGAGGCCATGTGAATAAATTTGCTCACCAGAATCCAAAAGGATCCTGAAACTTTTTTTTTTTTTTTTCTTTTTAAGACAAGATGCATGGATTCCCTTGCCTTTGTTTATTTTAAAACATGCTTTGATGAACCAGAGTTCTCCATTTCTATCTGTATGTTCATATGTATACAATATTTTCTTTTTTTTTTTTCTTTTTTTTCTCTTTTGAGCGAAATCAGTTTTATTGTGCAGAAATTGGGATTGAGGCAGACTGCCCTTTTTACAACTGTATTATTTGATTTTTGACTTACTTTAGCATGTCCACCTTAATTCTAACCCGTATACCCTTTTTTCGCTTTGTATAAATATGTAGTGTATACTTGATATAGATATTTGCATATATATAAAACTTTGTAGTATTTTTCTTTTAGCTTTTTTGATGTTTAAAATACAGATGTATCCTGCAGTTAGTGGACATAAACCCTTTTGACTGTAAAATTGTACATTTGTAAAACCTCAGTAATGTAAATGTGAGTTTGAAAATTGACATAACCCCCTTCCTTTTTGGTAAGAGATAAGAAAAGACAAAAAAAAAAAAAAAAACTTTAGGCCAAACTGTGCATTTCCAGGATTCTTCTACAGATATATTGGTCGTGATGTTGTAAATTGTAAATTGTAATTTCAGCCGGGCAAGACAAAACTGCATTTTCCCCTTTTTTTTTAGTTGGTGTTTGATATCTCATTTTACTTCCATTTATAATTGGATTAATGTTAAATTTGCTCTAAATTAGTGCAGATATCTTTTTAAATCAGCCAACTGCAAGTATAATTTCAGATTTTGAAATCTGTGAACTGAAACTACCCTGATCCAGTTGGAAATCTCGTTAGTTCCTTCCTGTACAGACTATAACATTTTGTTTTGCATTTTGTCTCACTTGTAAGTTGCTGTAACATATTGTCCACTTAATTCTTTGTTTGAATATACAAATGTAATAGTTAAACGGTGTATATTTACAACAGACATGAGATCCCCCTACCCTTTTGTGTATATTACAAATGAAAATTTTCAAAGCACACTTGTTTAACTGTATGTGTATAATTAAGAATACCCTTTTCAATTGCCGGATGGAGCAGAAGGAGGGCAATGGGGAAGGGGCATTATTGGCCCTGTGGATGCTTCTGATTTAGCAATTATTTTTTGTACTTTGTGTAGAATGTCTATAAATGATGTGTGATCTTTATTTTGAAAATTACAGAACTTTGGAATCTCTCTTGTTTGTGGTCAGTCTTTGTGTCTTAAGCAAAAAGCTTTCATATCCATATTTTATTTAAAAGGTCAACACAATATATGTGTTTGTGTATATGCATGCTTTTATACAAACAGATGTAATGTAACAGAGCTTAAAACCTAGGTTGATTTAGCACAGCGTTTTTTGTACACTTCCAAATTTCCACATTAAAATATAATTAGGAATGTCATTATTTGAAAGTCTGTCCTAACCACAGATGAAATGTTGTCCTGTTTGACTTGGGTACTTGCACAGAAGAAAAACAATCTCTTGATTAAAAAAAAAAAAAAAAAAATCATATCTGCTTTACAGTATATAGATTTTAATCATGTGGTTTACTTGTGGACAATAAAAAAGGAATATTTGCCATGTTCAAATAACCGAAAAAGTGCAGCATTCGCTTGACATGAAATAAAATAAATTGATACGATGTGCAATTCAGTTAACAACGAGAAAAAAAAATCAGATATCAAGTCTTTTAATACATAAGTGCACCCAATCATGGATTCCCACCATAGTGCCTCAGTTACTGAAAGTCCATTAGTGCCATAAAAATCCATAATACAACATAATCTTGTGTATTGTTGTAAATCTAAAACAAAAACCAACAGTGACTGATCCTTCTGGTGTGGTGAGAACAAACCTCCTCATCCATACACCCTTTGTGATTCACCACCAGTGAGAAAATAAGCTGCTCACGACATCAAGACATAAGAGGTCAAATGTGCTTGTATCTCTTTAAAGTAAGGAAACCAACACTACCTTTGCAGCGATTCCACAGAGCCATCTAGCATTCAGAAATTGATATAAGCCAAGTGCAGCACAAAATAAAAAAACTGACATAATGCTCACCATTGTTTTGACAAAAATAAGGGGTTGAAAACACATTAAAATGATCTGAAAGAGCATTATAGAGCCAGCACTGCCAATCCTTCTGCCTCTCAGTCACACAATGCAGCTCAGCGCTTTCCTTGGTCTTTGCCATCTTATAGGGAATCTATAGAAAGGTTAATTTTGCCTAAGCAGTCCCCTGAAAAATGTACCTCTCTATATTCTTATTGAGGGGCTTAGCTAGCTGATAATCAAGCACCGTAGGGTTATACTGCTGTATATGGAGAGTTTGACACTAGGCATATAGAGAACTGAAGGCCAGCTCCCTTGAGGCCCATTACCCTCATACCCTGATAGGTTTCGCTCTGTGTCCTTACGGAAAATGGATGTCTGTCTCTTCTCTGAATGAAGACTCTCTTGTGAGTGATTAATGGAGGTGGTTATTGTTTTGAGGAATGTGGCTGAGTACTGTCCGTGGAGTATATAAGTACTCCTTTTATAGGCTTGTCTTTTTTCACTTATTTTACATTCTGGATATTTGTGAGGATTCCCCCCCTTTTTTATTTTTACTTGGGGCTTGTGGTGAACTACATAGCTGCTACCATTTAGATGGTGTATTTATTCATACAGATCTGTCTGTTATGACTGATGACTTTTGAAGTTCCTGCCTCACCACTGTTTGGAGCTAACATGTGCAGTTTTCCAGAAGCTGCATTCTGGTACTCTGTAGATCACAGCAGGACACTGCTTGGGGTCGCTGCACTCCTGCAGTTCACGTGGTCACCCAGCCAAAATCCGTATACCATCTGGTGTACTTCTAACTCATTGTGAGTATTCTTAGGAGAGTGGGTAGCATATTAGCATTTCTTGAGGAACACTGGAATTTAGATACTGTTTGGGTATTCTTCTGCCCACAGGAGGATTGGACACTGGCAAATAGAAAAATTGTGAGACAGCACAGAATTGCCCCTTCTACACATAATGCCTCAGTTTTTCCCCCAGTATCTTAGAAGGATTTTATTTTTCTGAAGCTCTGCTGATAAAAGTAATGAATTTCACCGAACGACGGCTACAGTGCGGTTACACAGTTCTAGGAGGGCGTCATATGATGTTCTCCTAGAACACACACCCTCAGCAATCTCTGTGATAGCTGTGTCCAAAGGCCAATCACAGCAGCCTTTTACAACGTGATCAGCTGTGTTCAATGACACAGCAGATCACATGGTAAAAGCCCATCACAGCAGCCTTTTACCACGTGATCAGCTGTGTCCAATGACACAGCAGATCACTGGGTAAATACAGTTGCCGGTTATCAGCTGCAATTTCCTCATTCTGTCAGCGTGAGGAAAGTAATGCCGATAACTGGCAATTGTCAGAGGACGGATCGGCACTGATCATCAGTGCCACCCACCTGTGCCCCCATCAGTGTTTCCCAGCAGTGCCACCCATCAGTGCTGCCTCATCAACACACATCAGTGAAGGAGAAAAATTACCCTGTTTGCAAAATTTTATAATAGAAACAAACCTTTTTTTTTTTTTTTTTGTCACATTTTTTTGCTTTTTTTGTTTATAGCGCAAAAAATAAAACACCCAGCGGCAATTAAATACCACCAAAATAAAAAGCTCCATATGTGTGAAAAAAATGATTCATATGGGTACAGTTTTGCATGACCGCGCAATTGTCATTCAAAGTGCAACAGTGCTAAAAGCTGAAAATTGGCCTGGGCATGAATGGGGTATAAGTGCCCAGTAGGCAAGTGGTTAAATGGACATAACTAGTCTGGAATGTGACCTTTGGCGGTTTTATAGACTTTTAAGTGCTAGCAGAAGTTAGCTTCAGGTCCTTTCTAGGCATTATGGCACTGACCTAGTGCTTTCTCTCTGCCTCTGAACACTCACAACATTGAGTAGTCCATGGAGGCTGAGAATAGCCTCCGTCTTGTTTTACTGTGAAAAGAGTTAATGCTGAGGGACTGACCAATGTTGGCCAAAGGGCAGTGTTGCATATGACTTTCCTGATTATCAACATAGAGGAATCATCATCCCATTGCTTCTTCTGCTTTGCAGCAGTACCAAGTAGAACGTCAATCTCTGGTCCATTTTCAGGTCATCTCTAGCCATTCAGCTCCCATGGGCCAGCTGCTTGGGTTTGTGAGTACTTGAGGCCTTAGTTAGCTTTTGGCCTAGTTGTACCACTTCTATACAGACACAACAGGTCTATTGGTACATAGGACAGTCCTGCTGTCACAGGTGACCCTGGCAAACGGTTTTCTAATGGTTGCAGGGATGTTTATTCCGTACCCTCTCATTGCATTGAAGTCTGTTTTGGAGTAAAATGACCCTGTGGTTATTTGGGCTACCTCATTGAATTCTCTCGTCAGGTGAGGCCAAGTCCCTTACCCTGTTGTTGGGACCTCTGTTACAGTTACACTAGGATTTGTAGACAATGTACCAAATGTGTGGATGCTGACTGGTAGGAGCTCTGAGCTTTCTCACACATCTTCCCTTGATCTGTCCAAAGCCTTAGAATAGGCTTGGTAACTGGTTGCACTGACTCAGACCCAAAGTTTCCACAACCACCTTCAGCCACAGCACCGCATTCTACTGCTATCACCTTTAGCATTACAAGAGGTAGTTTTGGCCCTTATTGATGCGGTAGTGTGCAGTACCCTA